GCAATATTTTAAATAAAGTAAGTATATTGTCCTACTAATTGTATAAACCAACAACTTTCTGGAAAAAAAACGAAACAACAGATCGTTGTCTGTTTCGAAAGGAGAAACGAATAGAAAATCACGTATGAGCAGAGTAGTGGTAGTTCATTCATTTTGCCTGAAAATTTGAAATGTCAACTAACTAGTTCAAAAATAGCAAGTAATATTATAAATTTTTGATATTTTTTCGGTGCTTTAAAGTTTCTGTAGCAGTTGGATTGGTTTCACGGGGTAGGGTTGCGATCACTATGCCCAACCTTTCCTTTTTACCCGAGCTTAGGACTAGGACTAGTGAACTAGTTAAACTTTATCAACTTCATTCAATAACTGTATGAAGACGCCACATACCAAGTAATTTACAATAGGAAGCTAAGTGATGCTTTTGGAATGAAGACAGGAGTAAAACAAGACTGTCTACTATTACCCATTATCTTTCTGATTGTGGTCGACTGAATCATGCAACAAACAGTGAGGAGAGAGAAGAGGGGGATATGCTGGACCGAGGACAAGATCCTAGAAGATTTGGATTTCGCCAGTGATGACTTGTGTCTGATGTCACACAAACTTGAAGATCTACAGGCGAAAACTAACAAGTTGACAGAAGAGGGAGCGAGGGGAGACGAGACTTCAAGTGAACATGGCGAAGACAGAGGTAGTAAAGATGCCGAGCCAACACCACCAACAACAGCAACAACATAAAAAACAAGCTCTAATCACCAACAACGGAAGAAACTTAAAGGAAGTAGCCTCTTTCATCTATCTAGGCGGTCAGCATCGTTTCAACTACCGGCCGCACAGATGACGACGTCAAAGCCAGCCACCATCGGAAAAACAAGCAAGACAGGCCTTCATTAACCTGAAACCACTGTGGAGATCTTCTGCACTCAGCATAAAGCGTGAACTAGATCCCGATTTTCAACACCAATGTCAAGTTAGTGCTTCTGCATGGCTCAGAGACTTGACGCGTTATGAAAGGCATTTCCAACAAACTACAGAGATTCATTAACAACTGCCTACGCTGCCTCGTTACTGAAGATCAGATGGCCAGAAAGAATAAGCAACAAGGGACGCTGTCTGGCTGTCTGACTGTCTGCCAACGAACCAACGAAGCGAGAACCTATCTATCGCTCAACAAGTATGCAGAAGGAAGTGGAGATGGATTGGGCATACACTGAGAAGACCATTTGGGGACATCACGTGATAGGCCGTCGAGTGTAACCCAGATGGGAAGTGAGGAGTTGGGCATCTCAGCTGAGGGTGACATGTAGGAGATCGTGTGAGGAAGAAATGAGAACTTGGGGGCTGTCGTGGAGCCAGGTGGGAAAGATTGTAGAGAAGAGAGTGGGATGGGGACGTGCTACTGAAGCCCAATTTTCTAACCCTGACGAAAGAGACAAATAATAATAATAATAATAATAATAATAATAATAATAATAATAATAACAATAATAATAATAATAATAATAATAATAATAATAATAATAATAATAATTGCATCTTCCTTGAGTTGGAAATTATATGCAACATATACATCTCCTCAGATAATGAAATGTACAGAATCACTGTGTTGAAATGTGACAGTGGAGTTTGTTTAGCAACACGCATTCGTTAATACTGAATTTATTTTTTGAAACGCACGCCCAGATAAATCACACACGTAACATTCTCTAATCAAAGATCATCAACTGAACAGGAATCATGCGGCTTAAGCAGTCTACATAGGTTATGTTCTTATCTGAAACTAAAGTTCATAGTCTGACATTTTGAAGAATTAAGCATAAGATCATTCATTGAGGGCCAGCATCCAATTGTACATAGGAAATTATCTAGTTGATAATAAACTGGTGAAGAGATGACAGGTATTGAAACTGTCAGATCGCCAGCATGGATAACAAGGTGGATACTTACGGAAGTTAGCAAGTCATAGGGAAAGAAAGAGAAGTGAAATGAGAATGAAGAGCGGTTTAGTTAACACCAAGCTCAGTAAATAGTGAGATGGAGTGTTTCCCTCTGTAAATAGTATATTGCTTCTTTTCAGAGAAATGGGAATACAACCAGGGAGTAATCTAGGATTTAGCATGTTTTTTTGACTCATTTGCTCAACAAGAAAGGTTTTAGGATAGAATCAATAGCTGAAGCATAATTTAAAAAGCTCATCTGACATAGTCGACACCTCTATTAAGATTATAAACAATACTGGGATGCAAAACAGTGGTTGGATCAAAAGCGTTTCTTTTGTGTTTGCATACTAATTGATTAGGATCATCATAAACCTGTAATGAAGGTCCGATAGTTTCAAGAATGGAGAAGTAATAGTGATCCGACAAGAACTGAAATATGCACCTGAAGACACGGAGTTAGATATTAGGACTTTTTTAGCATCCTTCCAAGCAGGTGGTACTATGTTTTCTAAAAACGATTTATGGAAAATGTTGGCTAGTGGATAGCATAATATATCAGCACATTTCACGATTAAGAAACTTGAAACGTTACCCAAAACCAAGCTGCGTGAGGAATTGAGGGGATTAAGGCACTCAGAAACACCTTTATCACCGTTTTCAGGAAAACAGTGTTCAGTGGAACTGGAAGGAAGAAGATGGCGTATAAATGACTTAAGTAGGTGACGTCATCACACGCTTCCTTGGTAAGCTGTTTACTATCGAAATAGTCTTTGAAAAGTTTAAATACGCTGGGAGAGCTTTCGCATGTCAAGAGATTTTTGCTTTATAGTAGATCCAGATGCTTAGCTTCTAACTTTATCAAACAGTTCAGTTGTCGAGCATCAGTGTTATCACCTACTTCATATAGCTTTTCTCTTTCTATTTTCAGTCTCCTGAGGTTAGAAGAGGAGAGATGATCAAAGCGTAGAGATAGTTTTACACTAACTTAATAGATACGTCCGCAAAACTTGAGAGATCATGTCACTTAATCGACAGTGTCGTGCAAAACACCATTGTCAAATATATTGCAGTCTTTATATTGTAGCATTCCTCTTAGTTGGAGTATATTATTTTGTGAATAGTATTTATCCACAATTTTTTTGTATTGATATGCAAAAGACATTTTGTGTAGTTTGCCATATACTTTGCGCAAAACATGTATAGTGCGGTGATGATTTATGCATTTCGTGGATATCAGTATTATTAGAGAACACCAAGTTCAGTACAAGATTCCGACTTATTGTTGTGTTCACAAGTTTCTGATGACCGAGAGATACGAGAAAGCTGCAGTCACACGAATCTAAATCATTACATACTATCGACATGCAACCACTTAGTATATGAACTGCAAGTTCCTTGTCTTAATAGGGGAAACCAGATAGTATGGAGTAACTCCGACCAGGCGTGACATAAATATTTGTGACCGAAGTAAAATGGTATTAAGAAAATGACTGATTGAGTGAAGAAATATATTCCTTTTCAATAGGGTCTTCATCTTGGTCTCTACACTAATATATAGTTTACAATTTAATCAAACTAACAATCATGTCGTGATGTTTTAGAATTTGAGATGTAAATAATTAATAGAGTAATTGAAATTGGAAATATAAAGCAGGTTATTCTTAGGTAAGTCGACTGGTTTCTCATGAGTGTTCAGTCATATCAATAAGTGATTATGTAACAACAAGAGAACCAGTGGATATTGATACAAACAAGATGGAGGAGAGGTGTACAAGAAGTGTACTAGAAGTCACATGATGTTGACAACCACGGTCATGAAAGTGGTTGAACAAACTTCTTTTGAATACAAAGGTTAGGTTTGTAAGGGTTGATTGCAATCGCCTCTGCTATCAGAAGTGATCGAGTGAGTAATCCGTGTGGTAAGTTAATTGGAATATGATGGATGATTTTGAGAGGTTTTCTAGTATCCACTTGATGTGCCGTGTCAACTAGGTGTGCAAGTATGGTGGTCTTTATTGTTCTAATTTGTCCCTTACTCAAGCATGATGGGTGGTGCTCAGAAACTGGATGATGGAACTGCGTCATTGTATGCCCAACATAACTAGCTCCACAGGAGCAGATTAACTGATAAATGCCCAAGATGAAGATTTAATTGAAAAGGAATATATTCCTCCGCTCAGTCAGTTTTTTCTAAAGCGGTATTTGTCTAAATGTAAAGGGTGGTGTTTTACAGCGATGCAATCGATATGAACGTTTGAGAACTTGAAGCGTATTTGTATCGAAATGTACCATATTAATTTGTAAAGGTAAGTCGATCCTGACAATATTTTGAAACCGTTAAGACAAAACAAATTATCATCATGGAGATCATGCAACAAAGTTTCTTACAATGTAATTGCTACAGTACTACACTGAACCTTGAAAAGAGACTATACGTAATCCATGTTCCTCTCAGAAGACCTGCAGTTTGGGCTCGGAATTTCAAGAGAAAACATTTGAGATAGGCTTAGTCGTTTCAAACTTTGTTACCATTTAATAAAAAAATAGCGATCAGTTGTAGCCTTTTTAAAAATGTACGCGAAAATATATATTCAGAGGAAATAATAAATTGATTGACATAAAATGAGGCTTGGATAAATTTGAAGCAGTGCATCAGATGGGAATCTTAGTAGCCTAAAGATTCGAGAAGGTCTCCCTAATCTTACCATACTCGCAACTTCAGTCGCTCAGTTCTCTGATATTCTTATTTCGTTCATTTGAAAATATTTAGATTTTGATATATTTTTCAATTCATGATTGTATTTTGCTCTCTTCAGTTTTTTTTCAGTGTTTCGCCTTCTATCGAACATTTGTTCATCTTACACCTTTTAGCTTATCCTGTGGGTCTGCGGGATTTATCATGTTTTCCTTTGTAGCGTGCTCCATATATGGCTTCATTATTTATATTGTTGCCACTTTTCTATAAAGTTCTTCAATAAGGACAAGCAAACAGATACCACACAATTCCACGCTTGCGGAAACTAGTCATAATTACTTACTTTATAACTGTAGTGTCCTTCAGAAAGTCCTGAGCATAGAATTTTACATGTAATTTGAGTGCATCAATTACATGCCGAAGAATCATCCTTTTGTATCAGTTCTGAATTTCGATAAAGTAAATGACTATCATCTACCTTAGAATTTGGTTTACTTCATCTAGAATCACTTCCGGTTACAGAACATGACATTTTAATCTCTTATTTCAGCTCTCAAACCACACGTTAACCATCTGATTTCATAGCAAGACCTATTGGTGTATACATCACATTCAGTTGACTGGCAATCTCTGAAGAATAATGCTGAAGGGTATAAAAGTCAAACTGTTGTTTACAGGAAGTCTGATTATTCTATCCGCAAAAGTGCTCCTCTACATTTTGTACGATTGCTTCCAAACAGTGAAATCCTACTTGATTCCTGTTTACAAGGACATCAGTAAGGACGTTGTCTTAATAACTGGTGAGTAATTCAACGCTTACATGATGAGTAATCTCCTCTCACATAGGTGCAGCAAATGGGATCGGTCGAGAGATGTGTCTCCACTTTGCCAAATACTGTCCAAATATATTAGCACTGGATATGGATGTCCAATCTCTTAAAGAAACAATTGATATTGTGCAAACAGAAACTGGAGTGCAGATTCATCCTTATAAATGTGATTTACGGTAATCATCCCTAATTCATTCACTTCAGTCTCTCAACAGTGACTGTGCTCTTCAGTAGATCATTTACTTAGAAAACTCTGTTCTGTTTTCTTATTCTGCTGCAGGTCTGTGACCGAAATCAATGATACTGTCAACCAAATACTCAGAGATTATGGTCGTGTTACAATCTTGGTGAACAACGCTGGAATTATTCATATTTCGTCATTGTTGGATCTCAGTCTCGAAAATATTGACGATTGTTTCAAAGTGAATTTCTTTTCACACATTCACGTGAGTTTTCTTGATTTGATTGCAATCACCTTTTAACCTTCATAGTTGGTCACGTTCCCGTATTTATCAGTGACAAATAAACTCTACTGGTGTTGAAAAGGGTATATGAATAAACAGTGACTACAAGATGAAGACAGATATGATTTGGGTGTCGCGCGTGTCATTACGAATCAGTTGGATAAGAAAACATGTGTAGTAAGATAGATTTTGTGTTCTCGAAGTTGAGATGAGATGAAGCAGTCTTGGGAACTAACCCACTTGTGTTCATCATTCTACTTTGATCTACCCATAGATTATGATGTGTGCATGATAGCCAACAAGAAGGATGGATACTTCCAATGTTAACTTTGCCAGCTTTATTTGATTACCATTGTTGGTTTCTTGCAACACTGAGAACTAACAAATGGGTAATTATATTACGTGATTTAGGTGGTATGTCGTAAACAGATGATCTAGAAGTGACTTAGTTGAATCATTTGTGAGTATCCAATGAATCTGTTTTGTCTTTACTGCTTATCACCGATCAAAGTCTGCCTATCAAGGTGAGCAATGTTCCCAACCACTAAGTGAAGTGAAGCGATACACCGTAAACTGGTGCTTCCTAGTTGACTGTATGGACAATTCCAGACTATACTTTGGTCATCTTAACTGAAATATGTGTGAATGAATTTATCTCAATTGTATTACTTTCAATTCAAAACAGCTTGTATTTCCTCGTTATCTATCCTACTTATTTTCCTATGACCCTCTGTGAAAACAAATGTGTGATAATTTGAGTCGATGAGTTAATGAAGGTTCTACGTTATTGCTTGATAGTCAATTTAGAAGAAGGCTTATCACAACAAAATATCTGTCCTTACTGGTGTTTCATGAGCTTACCATGCTTCCGTGGAATATCCAGTTCAGTCAAACAAATATTGCAGTTACTCATCCTCGGAGGATTTTTCAGTTTTCTACGGTTATTAAAACAGATTCGACGCTCAAACTCTATCGGGACATCCGTCACAACTATGAACTACAGCAATGAAACAAAGTTCAGAAATTTTACAATTTGTCAGTCCAGGTAGTATAATTTCAGCCTCGCGAAATGCTCACTAATGAAGAGTAACATGGTAAACTATGTTCCCAGATTGTAGAGGGGTGAAGAGGAATAGACAAATACTTGTGTAGAATCCTGTAAAGTACAACTACATTTTTTGCTCCTTTTCGTAAATGATATAAAAAGCCTATCGAATGAATATTTCTTTCCAAGGTTTCACAGTACTTCAGTAAATCCCTTTAACTCTCCTTAAGGCTCAGTACTGTCCAGCATATTATCCTACGTTACAACTGGTTACACATATATGTAATAATAATAATAATAATCGGCCTATTCCAGACAATTTGCTCAATATAGTCTGGAATTCTCAGTATGTAGTATTTCCAAAAATGTACTCGGTGTGCAATATTTTTCAACTAAGGAATTTGAATAGCTCAGCAATGCAAATGACAACAATACTAAAGGTAATCATTTAAAATAGCTATCTGTTTTCAGGTTATCATTTGATCTCAGGGAGTAAATGAATAGAAAAGCGAAACAATGTCTGAGTTAAATGACATACTGCCTACTGTGAATGGATTTCGTATTAAGAGAAGTAAATTTTCAAGGGAAACAGTGCTCTCAGCAATGTTATATGAATGCATTCTATTCGTTAAAAAGTGTATTATTTTCCCTTTAGTGTGTATATAACAGTTATTATCACTAAAAAAGATTCTTTTCCGTTTATGTTCCAACTAAGCCCTGCACTAAACTGTCTTATACAAACAGCAGAACAGTTAATATAACTGGTGACATCTAATCCACAATTACTTTCATTCTATAAGAATCAGGTAATGTTTATACATAAATCGGTGCGCACTGTAAGGAAGTAGGATTGAAATTCAGATATCCCTTTTAGTTGGACTGATCCTAACATAACTGTGATGTAAAGGTATCCAATAGATATGCGTCATTATCACAGGTTAAATATAGTTCCTTAAACAGTGCTGAAGTTCAGCCGTGACTTTACAACTCATAACATTCATTTTTAGGAAAGTAAATTGCAAATTGGATTCAAACCGAGTAAATGAGAATTAGTAAATAAGCCAAGAAAGAACCTGATTCCCTGCTCTCCGTACTAACTGAGATTTTCAACAGGTCCAGTAATAAGTTAGCTAACGTGTAAAAATTCAAGCGTAAATATCTGAGTCGTTTATGTATGACAGCTAACACAATGCACATAGGTGTTATCATTTGAAAACTAAGGGAATAAAAGTAATTTTCATCGGAGACTGGTATCAGGCAGAGAAGCAATGAAGTCTAAGATCACTGGAGATCCATCCTCCGCCAGTTTGTGTCTCTTTAGATGTGTAAACGCCCACAACTTTGGAAAGATCAAGTTCAGTACCATAAGTTCTCACAGTGTGTGAGTTACTCTTTATTCATTGAGCTGGAACCCAATAGTCCTCTTTCTCTTATTTCTATCGATTCATTATGCAGCACAATCATCACCTAATTTCATCATCGGACATCCACCTCAATCTCATAGGTCAAAACTTCTCTTTAGACTTTCGAGAAATGCAATCCAAAACATTTGAAATTTATTTTCAAAGCGATGAATCATAACAAACAGAATGATCAACTCTAAGCAGTAAAACATCGGTAAAACTATTCTTCACATTTTTCAATTTATTTTTTCAAAATTAAAATTTACAATGATTTCATTCATTAAAGTGTGTACTGTTTTCACGTTGTTCAGATGAACAGTAGTTAATCAAAGTTTTGATACAATCAACAACTGACAATCAACCTAGGGGAGTAATATAAACATATTGGTAACTAATACATCTGTAAACTTATTAATTGGCAATCGAAATATACATCTTTACGCTTAAGATATTCACAGACAATTTGTTGATAACTCATAAGACTATGCAGAAATAGTGAACTCGATGAATAATCCTTTTATTCTTGACAATTTTTCTACTAAGACTTTGGCATCGAAGTTTTACTAACACTGATTGGAGTTATGCTGACTTCACTTTCAGCGTATTGTTATAAAACATAAACGAGAAGAAATTAAAGATAATTCTGTCTTTAAAAGTGATGGAGTACTATGTGACAATTTTTAAGGAGACTGATTTCCTTGTTAAATACTTTTTCAATTATCAGTGTAACGTATTCTAGCATAACAAAGAGTGAATTGTCATTCTATTAGAAATAAATGGATGACACGTTCATCCCCTACACTGAATGACACTAGTGCTAATATTCTTCTCGCCATATTCAACACTGTTCACCATGAAATTGAGTTGATTTATGAAGTAGGGAGTGGTGAGTGTTTGTTACCTGTTGATGACCTTCTCTGAAAAAGAATCGATGACAGTATTAAGCAGAGTATGATGTGCAAGAGATTTGAGTTGACCAGGATCCATATTTTTTTGATGATGTGTTGCTTATACATACGAAAAGAATCATTTGTTTACTGTAATGTTTCAAGCTTAGAATGTTTGTACAATGGTTATCTTGTGTAAAATAGCGAAAATAACAGAGAGCTTGTCATACGAGAATGATTATTTCAAGATTCTGTTTACGGAAAATCACAATGGGTGGCAACTAAAGAGAAGTGCTTGCAGATAACACTAGAGAAGCCATTCTAAGTGAGTTTGTTTAGAATGAGTCTAATCAATTAGAAAATTATAATAACTAGTGATAAAAGAAACTTGCATTCATTACAGTTTATGCAAACAATATCTGTATTCTACTTTCGAGGTGAATTATCCATCGGTTTCGCTTGCGTCATTACTCTTCTCGTGGCTGTCCTATCGGTAATTGTTGAACCTTTCTGTATAGCTTCTGACGACTGTATGTTAACTTTATTTACTTTTCTTAGTGACAATACACTGTACACCACTGTACACTACCGAATGTGTTCTTATGTGCAGCACACACTAAAACTTCAGTTTTGGAAGGTAAAGCAGCTGTAAAGTGACTAAGATTGAAATTTCGACAACTAGAGGCTGAAGCTATCGTTATGGCAACACTATAAGTAGAAATTAATGTATGTCTATGATTAGTGAATATGATTGAAGGATAAGTTATGCATGCTGGTCACTGTTATGCATGAATCCATGCATTTTCTAACATTAATTTCTGTATGAGGATACTGACACAGGTAAAATGACCTAGCAGGCCCATCATAACTTCCTAGAAGATTATCCGTTAGGGTAAGGAAAGTCAAACAATGAAGTCAATCAATACTCCAGTACCTGCACATCTCATGCATACACAGTGCATGATGAATCAAACCTCACTCATTGGTTTTCTGTAAATGCAGTTACAGACATCTTCAAGATTTGTTTGTCTCTGATTGCTAAGCATAGCATGAGCGACAGCCAATTAAACTTCTAAATCAAATTTTCACATAAAATAAGATGTCCGTTTGATTTCGTCCCTGCTGGTGATGTTCACCAACTATGTAGTTACAGTGAAAACAACTTTTCTTTGTACTGATCAAGCCGCCTAATGTAAATGTGAACCTCGTTTTTGCTATTACTGCTTCTATTCCTGCCATATTCTATTTTAAAATTACTAGTTTGCACTTAGTTCCATGGTCTATAAAGAATTCAGACAGTTTATCACCTAACTGATGTGCGACAGTGATTCGATCCTTTCTACCTCAAAACACATATATAGTCTACGAATACAGTCACGATGCTTTGCCACTGAGATTATGTATACCCTTGAATGAGTTTGTCAAAGTGATTGTCTAGTTTATTACCTGCCATCTTCCAGTTCATGTATTCGAACTCGACTTCGATGAATTGTAATGGCAGTAAATGAATGTTGAATGATTGTATATGTTATCGTAAAGCCTAGTGAAAACTGACTGAAAATATTTTGTTACCCGACTTGTGTTTTTCAATATATACACACAGTGCAGGAAGTTGCTTTGACCAGACGTAAAATATTCTCTTTCAGTCTAAGTTATATCTCAATGCTAGGGCTTTCCACCTTCAATAATGAACAAACTTTGTGACCTATCATTATTGTTACAGAGTCAATGAAACCAACGAACACACTTACTGGATGTTTGTCAACGTGATCTATCAAGCGAAGTTGAAACCATATATGTTATGTTTTTGATATTTGAACGGAAAAGTGGTGATACACCATTATTCCAGATGAAAGTATGAAGTGAGATGGAAAAGGAATGAATTCAGTACACCTGATGACGGAGTAATTAGCCTGATGGCTTTGGAAATTATTAGGTTCCAAGGTTTATATGTGTACATGTTAGTTGAGGTAGTAACTAAACATCAAAGAGTTCGACTCATTATCTATTTGTTCAAGCAAAGATTGTTAGAATAATCAAGGAAATATATGGTAGAGTCGAAAAATTGTACCATCGTTCAATGACTCATAGCGTTATTCTGAGCTGTTCATCTTCTCATCGAACCGATAAACACTTGACTTACATTGCTTAAGTATGCATTTGTCAAACTGAGATTTGACGGAATAGTGAGACACATATTGAGAGCGTCGAGTAAAAGTTTGACAATGGGTATAGGTTATATTCTCATAGATCGCAGCGTTTTTGCCTGAAAGTCATGTCCGACCTTCAGAGAAATAGTAAGTATAAAAATATTGAAGACATATAGATGACAGAGGGACTGAATAGCTTTTAAGAATAAATTCATTGAGAAGGATTCCCCTCTTTGAAGTATTTTTTCTTCCGTTCAGTAGGTACATTCAGAGTAATATATAAATGAATTCAATATAGTGTATACCTAATCTCCTTGTCCAATGCTGTTTTTATAATCACTGTTTTCTATAATATGATTACTAATCACTCAGTGTAATTGTATGTCCCTTGTTGTGTGATGTGTCTTGTGGATCTTTGGTAGCTCATGTAATCTGCTTCGGTAGCAACATTTCAGTGCAGTTTGGGGCCATAAGCAAGTACCTCACTTCTCTTTGATAGTTTGAATCATTTCTCTAGTTTGACTTTGTTTATTACGGCTGGTAATTTGGTGGCATTTATCTTCTGATATGAACCAGTATTAAGATGTTACCTTGCTTTCCTTCTCTTAGTCAGTTGAGTTTCTTGTCACTTTGGTACTTTCTTCATCTGCTGTTGTGATGATGAGAGTTCAGTCTTGGAGTAACTGTTTCATATGTAATGTTTTGTACATACATTTCACTGCCTGAATTAGCAGAAATTTGGAGTGAGTAAATAATAATTTACATAGGTTACGGATGAGTTTCTGGCTCTAATGAGACACCATAACATTAACTCAAAGTTTATGAATCGCAACGCCTTATTTCAAGTGAATTAGAGGTTCAAATTAAGTCATAAAGCAGCTGAAAGCCATACAGAATATTCTCTGTCCAGCACCGATGCTGAATCACTCACTTCTAATTGGTCACTTCAAGGACCGCAAGATTTTCTGATTCCCACACGGGACTGAGGTCATTCTATTTTTATAACTTTGTAAGCAAGTCCTACAGGAACGCTTTGCAGGACACTAATCCTCTTAATTAGCCAAAGGTAAGAGAAGAAGAATAAATTCATCCATATGAGAACGCCTCATGGAGTCAGGTCATTCATCTCCTCAAGATTCATCTTTTGAGTTAATTTATGGAGTTAATCTGAACTTCCTCAAATGTCTATGTCTCCATCATATATGCATAGCTATATCACTAGCATTCAAAGCTTTTTTCAAACCTTTTTTCTACTTCGCTATTAACAACTTCCTTTCAGTCCTCTCTACATATTTCAATTCGATCATCATCACTACACTTCAAAGACAGCTCTTTCCCCTAATTTCAACTTTCTGGAACCTACTCTTCCTTTTCCAGTGATTCCTTTCCTATTGAGAATCATGAATAGAACTGAACAGCTTGGTAATGAAATCTAAGAAAAGAAATATTTCCTAACTGATAAAAAACAGCATTGTTCTTCTTATAACCTAGAGCAATGAATGTTGTGGAATTAGTAGGAAAAGATTAAAAATATGATATAGTTGTGTGGTTATGTAATACTCCTGCAAGCCAACGCCCGTTACCACTTTCATATTGATCTCCAGACATCTTTTACCATTACATTCATAGTCTTATCATATTTCTAATATTTTCCTACCTACTCTAAAACATTTGTCACTCACGGTTACCAAGATGGAATGACTTCAATGTACACTGTATTTCTTTGATTATCTTGTTCAGTTTTGATTGGACATAAAAAATGTTGAGTTGAACACTCCAACAGTGAGCATGTAAATTATGTTTATTGTGATTTTATATTCATTTCATACAGCTTTTGTGAATTATTTGCAGCTGATAAAAACCTGTGGAATAAAACGGTGCCATCATATTTTCCAAATCATGTTTTGACTACATTGCATAGGTCTTTTGAGGAGACAAGCTGTATGAAGATCCAGTATCATTGGTTCAACGGTATTCGACAGCTTCTAGTTGATGTACTGCACAGAAGATGGTATTCTTTCTTAAATGTGATATACAACTCAGTGTATTATTTCTACAGCTGACAATAGTGAAATGCCTGGAATGAACGTAGAAGTTCCTCAGCATTTACTTGCATACCTTTATTACTTATATCAACAGATTCTTCAATTCGTCCTAAACTCGAAGTGACAGCTTTTACAAGAAATTGTCACGCTAACTCTGAAACACGTCCACTTTCGAATGGCTAAATTATCGACTGTTATCATCCTTTCGTATAACCATCATTATCTAGGTGAAGCATGCGATTAATGACTGATCTGATATCAATTGTCTCTTGGTTTATTAACTCATTAGACTTATATTCAACTGAAGCTTACTTTTATCTTTCAATACGTTTTCCTCTCTCATAGCTGATCAAAGCATTTCTACCAGGCATGCTTGGTAGGTCGACATGCTCAGATGATTCCAATGAAGATAACTTGGAACCTGCACGTGGGCATATTGTATGTATATCATCTGGTGGCAGCTTGCTACCCATTTCGTATAATACAGTTTACTGTGCAAGCAAGTCAGCTGTTTTACTGCTTTCTGAATCTTTGGAGTTGGAATTACAGGAAATGGGTTTCGCTGATCGAATACACATCACTAGTGTTATGCCATATGTTGTCAGAACAAAACTAGCTCGCCACGTTACAGGCTCGTGAGTTTTTTAATGTGTTTTCAATGCTTCTTACTTTTTGACAGCTATTACTCATTAACGTTGGTGTACACTGGTTAGACATTGCCATTGACCGAGGTGTAGAAATGCATTTCCAGTTAACGTAGGAAATAACTAAATTATTTTCAGTTAACTTATTGTATTTTAACTATCAGTTAAATCACCTGCAACTCATTATAACAGTTTTGAGTGGTGTGAGGTGGATATCATGTATAATTCTATTCAAGCAAATTTAGAAGTTGAAAGCCAATACATAACGAAACCAAATGCAGGAGGACATCAGTAAGTGTTACTTTCAAACAACGTGTGTCATAAGATTAAGTGAACAAAACACTTCCTTATGTACTGAGTTGAGCGAAAGAAAAAAATAAACAAATTACTACTTGACACAACTCATTGACTTCAGGTTGGCATTCATCATGGACTGACATCAGTTCGAGAAACATTGAAAACCTGGGAGCACTGGACAGCCACTTAGTCCTAGTGATGGACTCTTCAGTAATGCGCACCCGGAAACCCACCAGGGACCAAACAAAGGACCTCCACGTTCCGCAGCCTTCACGTTACCACTGAGCCACTGGGTCGGAGTCCAACAGTCCATATTCACTACTGTTAATTCACGATATAGCACCATCTCCATCCAAAGCCGTCACTGAGTAACTGTTCTCATGTTCGACTTGGTTGATTACACTGGTCAAGACTTCTCATTGGAACTTCAAAGAAGAAATGGAAGTGACGGCTGCAGTTGTGAGTACGATCACGCTAGCAGACGGTAGAAGACCAACAACTCCATTTGAAACAATTTCGTGATCACCAATAGCAACAATAACTCATCCAGGAAATAACTTGAACGTTGACCTAGATGTCAGTGTCAAAGATCAAGCGGCGGCTGTGGAGTTGGTCAGTCAGAACTCTGAGGAGATGGACCATGTGGATGCAAACGGAGAGGAGGATTATGTCTATATAGGAGTTCGTGAGCTAAGGTTCCAAACTGATGCACCAACCTCCATTCCACATGCCGGTACATGGATAGCATGCCATTGTCATACTACATTCCATATATTCTGCTCATAGAATCCACACCTAAGAAGCTTTTGTCTCGAGTGTCCTGGTTTTAGGGTTAACCTCTGGCAGGAAGATAATGCAGCTGAAAGTTAGAGGGACTTTCACTGAAACAGATAATTGGCATCTTTATTTCCACAGATGTGCTCATTTCACTTTCACATTTTAGATGAAGACAAACTGTGCCAGAAGTGAATTTCAACTTCATGACAGGAAGTGAACGAACAAAGGCCCTTCTCAGGGCCATCACAGATGTGACTTGAATGATTTCTTTCTTTTTTTAAATAAATCAGAAGTGATTATCCATGTTTTACTACTTCACTTTAGAATCAAATTAATGTAGTGCAGAATAGTACATCTCTAACAAGTGTAGAAAAGAAAGACAACTACTTATTTTCCTTAGATGTACTGACCAGTTGACGACAAAATGAGTCGTTGCCGTGATCTGCTTACAGAAAGCCTGCTTGGATAGGGCAATATTAAAACTATCACAGTTTCTGCCCGTTCAAGTACAAACAAGGTTTAGTTAGGTGCTTATATAGTCGAATTCAACTAATTTGCACACCCTATAGGTTGAAGGAAGAGACAAGATTATTGATGAAGATATTAATTGAGAACAACTACCCAACGAAGTTTATAAGTTGGCCTAAAGTGACCTGAACATTGAGAAGTACTGTTGATTCTGTCCCTAAGAAAGATGTTTTCATCAAGCTAACATACATTAATGATGCCAATAGCTTGATTAACAGAGAGACTTAACCCTAATAGTAGCAATGATAGATAGTGGCTAGCAGTTAAATCCAGGGTGCACATTTCGTCCTATTTGGGACTTGCCAGTTGGATGTACCTGCTTCCTGGCGGGTGTTGTTCTCAACGGGATCCGGACTCGGGACCGATCGCCAGAGCGTTATTCACTAAACCACCGAGCCACGATAGCCACTTATTGTGCGACAGGTATAGTTTTTAGTATAATTGTTTTTATGTCGTACCGTCATTGATTGGACAGAATTGATCGGTCTCTATTGGCATATGGGATCCTGTGCGGAAGCCTCGATATTACCGGTGCTCTAATGGTAGTAATGATGGATAGTGGCTAGCAGTAAAGTCCAGGATGCTCATTTCGTCCTATTTGGGACTCGTCAGCTGGATGTACCTGCACCGGTAATATCAACGCATCCGCACAGGATCCCATTTGCCAATAGAGACCGATCAATTCGATTCAATCAACGACGGTGTGATCTAAAAACAATTATACTAATCGTTCTATTTCAATAGGAATGTGCCTTGGTCACATAGACACGTTGCCTTTTAAACCATAGAATTAACCAATCATTTCTTATTCACAGCTTTTTTACACCCCAAAATAAACTAGAGGAAGTGTGCTGGGTAATAAACGCCAACCCTCTTTGAAACTTCAGGAGTCACCAACCTGAAGTCAATAAATCCCCAAAAAACCTCATAAATGAATGAATCTAGTGCTTATTGGTGACTACCTTCGAGAGGTGATTCCCGAAGTTCCAATGAGAAGTCTTGACCAGTGTAGTCAACCAAGTCGAACATGAGAACAGTTACTCAGTGACGGCTTTGGATGGAGATGGTGCTATATCGTGAATTAACAGTAGTGAATATGGACTGTTGGACTCCGACCCAGTGGCTCAGTGGTAACGTGAAGGCTGCGGAACGTGGAGGTCCTTTGTTTGGTCCCTGGTGGGTTTCCGGGTGCGCATTACTGAAGAGTCCATCACTAGGACTAAGTGGCTGTCCAGTGCTCCCAGGTTTTCAATGTTTCTCGAACTGATGTCAGTCCATGATGAATGCCAACCTGAAGTCAATAAATCCGCACAAAAACAGCCTTGAAATGATCACTTCCTTTCGGTTTAGTTATTAAATGTAGTAGTATCAACCTTTTGATGTGTCTAAGAAACCAAGTTACAGGAAATTTCATTCTACCACAGCGCCCAAGTGTTACTGTTTTTGAAACATTTCCGTCTAGTAAATAAATCGTAACAAAAACAATTCATAAGTTACCAATTTAGTTAGGTGGCCGCCTTTAATTTCATGAACAAGATATTCGAACAAGACAAGCAGCACTAACAGTAAATATGGTTTCGAGTTATCCAGGCAATGAGTTCCACCACACCCCTGAAATAAGTCCTTCTGAAAGATTTAATTTGTGGCAACACATAAATACAGCCTTCAAAAAAGTGAGGTCATGGAGACATGTGTTGCACATGCCACACTATCGCCTACCTTGAAGCGCCATATTAGCCATGTAGGATTACTTTGAAAGTGTTTTACTGTGAAATAAGATTATCAAAATCTTCATAAATGTACGTAAATCGTTAAAGCCTTTTTCAACCAATCGCTTTACTTCAAAGTTTCGGAAAAAAATACGTGAACTAACGTGTAAGGATCAAGTTGATTGAAGAGATGAAAATCAATAGAATTTAATTCTAGTAGACCTGGAAATAGCCAAGGCCATGGTGATACATATAAACTGTATGTTTTGTATAAATTGTTGACGTTAGCGTTGTAAATACACCTTCTGTTATATTACCTCCTTTTTCATTACGAAGGAACTGAGAGACTATTAAGGGCGGTATCTGAAGGTATTTGTACAAGTGTCTTCATATAGCATAGTCAGAACACATTTATAACTCAGTTTATATCAAGTCACTGTAAAAGGTTTGACTGCCTCATCCTCTATCTTTTTAAATTACCCTTAGTATATTGATAGAAAAAATGGCTACTTGAAGCGATACAATATTGACTCGTCACTGGAGTGTAATTAAATTCACTCTATCTAGTCCTGTATGCTGATAGTACGTTTTTGGCAATTTTCGTAGTGTAGTCACCAACTAGTCCACAGATATCCCCATTGTTGTGTAATCTGAATGATTATGCCTGGTTGAAGACGGATTGCAGCTCGCGCACTTGGGCGAATATTCTCCTGGGAGCTAAGAATGGATTGAATTTGGAGCTTTAATGTTTTGGAATATCTATATAAGGTGTTATATTTCTGAGGCAATTTGAGTTAAGGTCTCTCAACACAGTGATGAAACTATTTGACAATTGTTAAAGTGATCAATACCGCAGAGAAATTTCTTCATGACGCAGGTTAAATGTTGTTTGAATATTGTGCTCCTTGAAGTCTCGGTCTATTATTTTACCGAAGAATAGGAACAATAATGTCTTAGTACTCAAGATAAGATTGGGATGAACAAAAGGATAAACGCGTTGGTCTGAGGGCGCTTTCATTCATGAAAATATTAGAGTATGCCTTTCTGTTTTGAGATGTGAGAAGCACACAGCAATTTTAAAAATAAAAATATTCAGTTATGAGGATGAAAATGACCTGCTTTTGATAAATAAACTACTTCCAATTGACTAAGATCCCTTTACCATGTTTTTAGAATCACATTATTTCAGTGATCCTGATAAATTCCATACCATCTAGTAAGAATAGGTGGTATCAAAACCTTTCACTCGAGATTGTTCCATATTTTTATTCAGCTGAAAACTAACGTTATGGAGAGTTTTGTAACGTTATTAGCGTTTGCAAATATTTAATTTCGTAGCACCTTTTAAACGAGTCGTTTGTTTTCAGCTTCTCAGTGTATAAGTGATTCAAATTATTTTGCCGTTCAACAAGTTTGTAGCATATAAGAATTATGTTCTCAAATAAAGTGACCTACAGTAAAGACAGGAAAATGAATCTAGGAGATTGAGAAACATTACCTAGCAATTTACGAGGGAAAGGAGAAATATAACATTAAATATGATTAAAATCTGTTGATTGGACATATCCTCAAAAAGACAACAGGGAATTTACTTTTTTTAGTAGGTGAGTAGTGTGAATCTGATTAGGAATAAGAAAACTACTGAGAGTAATACTAAGGGTCACCTGGTACTTCTCCAGTTCCATTCATCCCACTTCTAGGGAAAGTTAAATATTTGTCTATGCCATACAGTCATGTTAAGATGTGTGGACCGTTGCGCATCATGGTTGTGGTCATGCTGTTTTCGGAATAGAAAGAAATAAGAAAAAATTGACCATTGGGTTTTCTAACAGTGGCTTGACGGTGGGATGGCTATCATGAGGCATGATAGTCCTCGACTCAAGGCAGTAAGGACTTATGGAGGTGCACTGATCGGGAGTCTCATACTAAACCGGAAGATCTGTACAGTGCACCGAAGCTTTTAGCGGTTCTTTGTCTGCTGTCAGTCTGTGATCGAAAATATCTTGCCGTCCATCAGTGCCCACAAATCGTGAAGTGAATGACGATTATTTATTCTGGCGCTCTCACTTGACAGATATGTACTATGGAAACGCTAAGAGTAGTGTAGAAGGAGGTGATGAAAATAAAAGTGACAATTGAAACAGAATTATATGATGTCATTTTATTTCGATTATTCTAATCAGCTCCTTACAACTACAAAATATACTAAAATAATGTCCGAACAGTGTTTCGAATGCGTCACATGATTTGACAATATATTATCAAGCAATTTCCGGAAACTACTCGTCGAAAAAGTTGAAAGTCAGTTGGTTTATTCTTAATCAATCTCCTGCCTATAGGGTGATGTTATTTCAAAGCACACTGCAAAGAATGTGAAACTGAAAGTTGAGTAGGTTTTCAACAGTACAGGCATTCTTCATCTAAGTAAAACGAGATCATGATAGCAGAAAGTTTTAAACATTTTGCATTCAGGAGTTGAATGACAGGTAGAACACAATATGTTATTGGAGCGATAGCTATTGCACAACTTCAATCAAAGTTGTAGATATGGGAAAAGATTATTACTTTTTCATTATGCTATATTATCGATTCGTTGGCTGTTGTTCCTACTTCCTTAATTAACTCAGACACGTTACACTTAGTTTTTGATTTCACTTGCCTTGACTTTTTATCCTACTTAAATCGTTTTCTCACTTCTCATGCATTGTGTTACGTTAGTTTCCAATTTCTAGAAACCGATATATGTCTTCCCCTCCTAAATTTATTTCAAACAATTCAACAAATTTCATACTTTATTTGTTATAAAATAGGAATTCTGCTTTGTTTCCATTGGTGGAACCTGATAAGTGTGCGAAACGAATAGTGGATGCTGTTCGTCTGAACAAATCAGTTGTTTACATTCCTGAAGCTATTCGTATTCGTGCTATCCTACATATGTAAGTGAAACTTACCTATCGGTAAAATCTTTTTTGTCTATCTTTGTTCTTATTCATAAACCTCAATTCATCACCTTGGGATTTGAATGCTGAACATCATCATCCGTAATATTGTATTTGACTACCCAATCAAAATAAAATATCGAAAGCACAAATATCTGAGGGAACAGGATAATCTTGTATTGTTGGTAAAATTATCAGTATCAACCGGTAGACAAGAGCGGAAGATTGAAAATATGAGATGGAATAAAATTCAGAATTTTTCGTAAGTAGGTCTCCAATGTAGTTTATCCATGACCAGTGTTCAGTATTCACCGGATTCTGCGGATCAGGTTTGTGACATGGTCACGAGGCTAAATGGCTTAACACTGTGGTGCACTGCATCTTGGTGTTAGACGTCAGAAGTTAGTGGTGGGAAACCCTTAACCTGTGTTTTATGCTTGATGGTGTGCCCGGCTTGGCGAGACGATCTTATTAGTGAAGTCTCAGACTTCAATATTAAGTGGCTCATGTGAGAGTCAGTTACCTCTTAGCTCCAGAATCAACTTACTGGCGATTGTCAGCAGACATGGAACACACTCTCATGGATTCCTACCTATTGCCTCTTAAGATCTGGTGGAAAATTCATATAAGCTTATACAGAAAGGCGGACATAGACAGCATTAGTTTGTCGACCTGAGTTTTGATTGTTTAAAATAACAAAAGGAGAAGGAAGATGAGTCAGTTGACGGGAGGAGAGAGAGAATGGCTAAAAAACAATATCAGTGATCGCTAAACGCCAAGAACAAAATTATGGTGCTATTGGTGTAATGAATAGAAACAGTATTAATATTTAGATAAAGATAATAAGCGAATGCAACTGGGGCATTGAGTTCTGTTATGAACCGTATCAACTCAAGCCTCTAACTATCGATTTCGAATGTTTCACAAACTCGAGCAGAAGTCGTACACCTGCTTAAATTGTTCAGATCAACATCTCCATGCAGCATGGACTGCTGACATATTTAGGAACAACCACCATTGACGCTTATCCAACTCAGTCCTTTTTCAGCTATCAACACTTTGGCACCTGCTGACGCAGAATATATAATACGATTTGATTTTGTGTACTGAACAGCGAGTTTAGAGAATAAATATGTTTACCTTGATATCAAACTGAAAAGTTGTACAACAGCGTTTAAGTATTATTAGTGCATGCGTTTAACTGTGAGAATTGTCAATGTGCTTTGCGAAATGAAACAAGAAGATAATATAGTAATAAAAGTTACGTAAGAAACAGGAAAATATTTCACTACAATGACTATTCCCATTTGACACTCAGAAAAAGACTGATTGAGTGAAGAAATATATTCCTTTCCAGTTAGGCCTTCGTCTTGGTCTCTACACTAATATATAGTTTACAATTTAATCAAACTATCAATCATGTGGTGATATTTTAGAATTTGAGATGTAAATAATCAATAGAGTAGTTAAAATTGGAAATATAAAGCAGGTTATTCTTAGGTAAATCGAGTGGTTTCTCATGAGTGTTCAGTCATATCAATAAATGATTATGTAACAACAAGAGAACCAGTGGATATTGATACAAACAAGATGGAGGAGAGGTGTACAAGAAGTGTACTAGAAGTCACATGACGTTGACAACCACGGTCATGAAAGTGGTTGAACAAACTTCTTTTGAATACAAAGGTTAGGTTTGTAAGGGTTGATTGCAATCGCCTCTGCTATCAGAAGTGATCGAGTGAGTAATCCGTGTGGTAAGTTAATTGGAATATGATGGATGATTTTGAGAGCTTTTCTAGTATCCACTTGATGTGCCGTGTCAACTAGGTGTGCAAGTATGGAGGTCTTTATTGTTCTAATTTGTCCCTTACTCAAGCATGATGGGTGGTGCTCAGAAACTGGATGATGGAACTGCGTTATTGTATGCTCAACATAACTAGCTCCACAGGAGCAGATGAATTGACAAATGGGCGTGGAAGCAGCAGAAGCTGTCAGTTTGTCTTTATTTCCTGCACCTGGCATCGGACGGTTGTAGAAGATGGGACAAGAACGCCAACAGTTCTGAAGAAGCTAACCTTTTTGAAGCTGAAATTTAAGATTGGCTTTGTCAGTGAGATCGTCACATAACACATAAAAAGTCGTGCATAAAGCATCCCCGTCTCCTACAACCACGCAATGCTAGGTGCAAGAAATAAAGACAAACTGCCAGCTTCTGCCGCTTCCACGCGCATTTATCAATTCATCTGCTCCTGTGGAGCTAGTTATATTGGGAGTACAATGACGCAGTTCTATCATTGAACTTGATTGGTATTTTCGATTAGATTGTAAGACTACATTTTAGGGTAGAGACTAAGACCTAATTGAAAAGGAATACGCTTCTTCGCTCAATCAGTTACGTGCAGTAAGTGTGATTTGAAATCTTATAAATAAAGAGTTGTGAGGATGAATGAAATGAGATGTTATTAATGTGAGTTTCCATAAACTTGTACTCTTAATCCTGTATACAATTTTGCGATAACAACTACTAGTGTGATCTCTGATAGAAAAGTTTCATGAACTGAAGAAATATGCTAATTAACAGCAAGTGTGATTGGAAATCACTCAAATCGATCAGCGGATTATACTTGTTAAGTGAAAAGGACTGAATAGTTGTTTCATATTTTCAAGATTCTGTAGCCTAAATTTGACCAGCAGCAGTGATGAATACATGGATGTGAAATCTGTGAAACAGTTGTCAGGCGCTTGAATTACAATGATATGGTGAATGAAATCTACGAATCAACGTACACGGTCATGACCATTCATTCATCTGATGTCCTCTCATTTCATTTCCAATATTTCAATAGAAAGCTGGAATCATTCACTTTTGTTTCGTTTTAGTCTCTCACCAAACTATGCTGCGGCCTGTATACGAAACTACATTAAACGGAATCTTATATTCTCTAGCGGAAAAGCGAAATAAAACTTGTTTTCAATGAATCAAAATTTAGTTTTGTAATTAAAAAAGTATTTCTGTTTGGTGACTCCAAATTGACGTACAACATAACCTGTGCTTTATGATGTATTTGATTTGAATAAATAAAGCTTTTGTTAAGTAGAAGCGATTTTCTAAAGTGGTCAAGACAGGCAGGTTTTATGAAGTTCTTGATTCATTTCACTTGTGCAGGGACGCACCACAACCATTGGATTCGTGTGAAGTGTGGATATTCAGTGAGTTTTACAACAATGGTGTAGTTCTTTTAGAAACTTCAATGAAAGCCGAAACAGTTATGGTTTACACTTCAGAAATGCAGCATTTGGTGGGCACATGTGTTATATTTTACATACCACAAGAAACTTGGTAGATACAGATATGATTATAATTCCATTCAAGTTCGCTTATTAGAACTGGACCTTACAGCTCAGTTGGTAGAATATCGGACCGGAAACCAGGTGGTCTATGGTTCGAATCTAGCTGCGGTCCGAATTTTCCTTTCAGCTTCAATCATCACCCAGTATTAAAACTGTCAGACAGTGAAACAGTATTATTTACTGGATAACGTTTTGGACACAATTTACTATCCATATTTACATCACGTAACTCCACGGCTTTGAGACATGATTTATATAGTTCTGACCTTCTCTTCTTCCTTGTGATAAGGGAAGTAGAATTTTCCACATACCTGGGACAGATGTAGAATTATTTCGGTTCCATATACTCTGTGTTTATTCAACAAACAAAGATTCGGTTATCAATCTCTTCCACCACGCAAATAAGTTATTTTTAATGCTGCCCTACCCTATTATGTGATTGCGTGCATAGCTAGAGCCAAGCTTTTCTATAAATTTCTTATCTTATTAGGATCTACTAATCTTGATTTAGCTAAGCTTTTGTGCTTTTATTTTAAATGACCCTAGTCGACTACTTTGACCTATGTATTTGACAGTCCTAATAAACAGACTAAAATGGAAATATAACCTACCACAGTAGCAGGTTTTAGAGCACAGTAATATAGTCTTTTTAATAGATGACGTTTCAAGTACAATCCATTGCTTTTATTCATATAGAGGTAATTTCATATCTAGTTTAGTTTCTTTGAAGGTTCTGCTGGCTTTCCTTCCTTGATTTGATTGATAGTAAGATTTTTCATATATATGGAACCATTGCCAATTTCTTTCTACTACACGTGTTACACGTTGAATTGATCAACAGAGATTCAGTGATCAACCTTTCTCTCTGCCTAACAACATTAGACTATTCCCTTTTTCCAGCTCATTGAATGGTTGTGTGTTATCGCTTGCACAATAATGACTCCATGATATGCCGCTGCGAGATGAAGGATAGCTATCCGTCCTGGAGACTTGAATAAGTCCATTACAGCTTGAAATGTAGCGTTCCTTTCTGACTTCCCGGTGAGACGCAGTGTAATATGAGCATGCTGATAATATATATGGGTGAGAACTTTGATGATTGAAGTCAAGCTGAAACCCAATAGCCAGTTTGGTCTCTTGAGTTAATCGGTATTATTTTGTTCAATGGTCACATTCCTATTTTCTTCTGAAGTCAAACACTCATCCTTACAACACTAAGAGCAATCTGCAGAATGAACACTATCATTACAAATAGTTTCATAGACAGTTATATATCAGTGTCCCCTATTTCACAATTTATGACTCAGTTTTTAAAGCTGACGCATTTTTGATATGATGATGTCAGAGTGAGTATTTCACTCCATTTATCAATCACCAGCTGGATGTGTTAATGTTCTAGTCGACTTTATACAAAATAGAATCCAGTACCCAATGGATCAAAAGTGACAATTATATCTACACAGTTACTGAGTCTGGATATCTACTCTCTTGTGTAATGGAAACAGTCAGATATACTGTAGTTTGTAACTTTCCGTTGTTAGTTTGTTCGAACTACAATAACTGACAACTGCTTGGATATAGATTCACAGTTCGAAACCACCGACATCTATAAGAATTTCCTTTAAATGACATTAAGTCAATTTTATCCCACAAAATCAGCATCAAAATGTTTACAAGCTATAATGTATCTAAGACACTATTATTTACTATATTTTATAACTTCAGCTTCAAGGTAAAATATTCAGCAAGGCGGTTCTGAGCTGCATACTTATGTTGCACGGGATCATTCGAGCAGGAATTAAGCATCTGACAAATGTACAGAGAATTTTAATTCGTGAAGAAAAACGTAGACTTTGTTAGTTTAAATTAAGCTGAATAAAAAGTTTGCTTTAAGATTCCAACGGTAAATACAGATGTTAAAACTAGGTTCTTACCTACATCATATAGAATACTTTGCTGGATTGTGTAAATGACAACTACAGGATATTGCGATACCATTTGAGCACAATTTATCAGATCGTTCAAGAAAAGACGCAAAGAATTTTCACGAAGAGAATTAAGCGTCAACTTTGAGTAACTTTCATCTATATATTCACTTATGTGCGTTCTTCGTGAGATAGTCTTCGATAGTAAGTAAATAGATTCTAGTCATATATCTCTTCAGTTCACAACATCATATACACACAATACTAGTCCAAAGAAAAGTGGGAAGTTTTATGCTACATTGTCAGAAATTGGTACTTTGTAAGTTTAATAAACAACTTCACGAGTTCGAATTTTTATTGACATAGATGTAAAAGCTTGCAATGCGTTGAACTGCCTAAAGATTTAAGAAGCATTAACTTCTAAATATCTCTCGAATAGGAGAATCGTTCGGAGCTTGAGTAACTAGCTCAGTATAGTAGAAATATCCCCAGTTCTGTTGAACCCATAAACTCATCGCTGGTAGTAATATGCACGTAATCACCTGATCGAATGAGAAAATAAGTTTCATGTGGTGGTTTTATGATATTCATCAGTTATGGAATATTATCTACGTACTTATTGTTGGAGTTGAATCAGTCACGAAAAGAGAAAGAAAAATTTATGTGATTTATCAATGAGTTGTTCACCCTAATATCAAATGGTAACTCTAGCTTGCTAGACTCGATTACATAATTTTCGACCGATGAAAGATATACTGGGATTTCGCTGTGTGGCAAATAAATTCGTGGTATGTAAAACTTCAATAATTACATCCTAAAATTTTACGTTCCATTTGTCGGTCGTTTCTCTTAATTTTAGTTGTTGAACTTCAGCAGTTAATTTTCGATGAATATAATGATCGTATCTACATAGTCATCACTATTTTGCGCCGGCAAAATCTGACTTCTTACAAAAGCGCATTCTTCTGCTTCTGAAAGGAAAAACAAACATTTTTATGTTTAGCCAGCTGAAAGTAACTAAGTAATTCACTCGTTTTCGATGGATCATTTCAACGTCATTAATCGAATTTCAGCACAATTCCATTTGGCAGCATTCGACAGAGTATGTTTCACCTTACTATATATCGCACTTCATGGCACTCTCTAGATGTACCTGTATGCTAGATAAAACAAACTGGTACCCATGGAGATGGACCAAATCCCATCACCATGTACAAAATTCGCAGAACTTAAAACTGATTCAACTTTTGTAGAGTAAACTGAATTACACACATTCAGTGGTTCGATGTAACGGATCACATTCAAGTTGTCTAGTCATAAGTGTCTTTCCTGGAGTACCCGTTTTTCCGACTGCCATGATGCGTTAGTACGGGCATGCGGATGGAAACGTTTTGTACAAAGTGAAGGCAGAAGGACAGACATGGATCAAGCATGTAAACCACACACGAACTTCAGCAGAGATGTAAGACAAAAAGAGACAGAATTTCCCGCATGAAGTTTTGCTGAGTACTTTTGACTTACCACATGTGAAAGACAGGACGCAGAACGAAAACAGCACATTTCTGCCAGAAGGTCAGTCCGACAAAGAAGAAAATCAAAGCCCTTTCAAGTGGATTCAAAAAGAAACACATACACTCTTTATAGGGGGAGGTTATACGAAGCGGCCTAAACCGAAATCAACATCCTATGTCATGAGCCTCTATGGCAAGAGTTTTAGATTTCAACTGACCAATCAAAATAAGTATCCAGCTTCTGATTTAGTAGCTTTATTTTCTGAGGAAAAATTGTATATAAACTGTTCTTTGTCAAATAAAGTTGTCATCCTTACAGTCAAAGGCCTATCTTTATCCTCTGAACTATGAAATAGTTCAGTGAAGTATTAGGTTCTGAGGCAGAACAGTCGCTATTTGTATCCAGTCCAAGTATCCCATTGTGGTAGTAGCGTTTTTGTATTTATTATTCTGTCAGTCACTTCAAAAGCTTACATTTTGCAAGAAATATTCTGAGTGTTCACTTTTTAAAAGCAGTTTAAACAAAACAAGGAAACATGTGAAATTGTATAGATGGGTATTTCAATTACAAGCTATTCACATGACTAGGTGATATGTCATAATACAGTGTCATTCAACCTACTTCAAAAAAAATAACCAATTCATTATTATTTCTGCTGAACAGATGGTTTCTCTTCATGTAATTACGTGAGTACAACTGAGATTTCAAAGCTATTCAGGTATAATCACAAGCAAGTGAAACACAGACAGCAATATCTATTATAATATTGAAATGTTTGTCAACTAAAACATCAGCTTAAGCAACAAGTAAGTCTGAACATCGAAATGTTTCAAAGAATCTCATATTTATCGCAGTTCAATTCAATTGTCTCAACACATTAATTAAAAACCTAGGCTATATCCACTCCCTGCAGAAACTGTAAGACTGATGGGTAGTTTCCTAACTCAACACCTAGATAAAAAGGTGATCTCATCGGACAGGTTAGTTATCCTTCGAAAATACTGTATGTATAACTGTTAAACAGACAGCGTTACAACTAACGTCAAGACTTTAAAATTCCTCTAAGATAATCAGTGAAATATACTGCTTTCGGTATTTCTGCTCTCCAATACTTATTTCTTACATAATATCACCCCACGCAGAGCGATTTCTACAGCCAGTATAAATCAGTTCAACCAATGAAACTGGGTGAAGATTAAGTGATTGGTGAAGAATGTTCAAGAGAATAATTTTTATGAAAGGGTCAGTTTTACCATGACTGAGAAAGGATGAACTCAAAGTTCCTAATGTAAAAACAGACCGATTATCTTACAATTTACTTGAGAAACTTTCCACCTTATCTTAGTTACATGAGGATGTAATGTGTAATTCCAAAATGACATCAAAAGAATGACAATAAATTACGTTACATCGCATGTATTCTTTGAAGACATTCATTCAAAAGGCGTCACGAACTGTGATAAGTCAAATTCAATATTGAAAGACATCCAACAACTTAGCACGCCTAGTGGTGACCCAACTATTTTTATTATTATTGCTGTTATTAGAACATAAACATAGTACAGCAAGGGCACCAAGGAATGCGCCACACAAAATAGCATAATAATGTGAGGACATAAACGATGGGAGGTGGAAAAGTAAGAAAGAAAAACAATAAGAATAGTATGATAAGAAGAGTGCTTCATTAAGATGCATTCGAAACATAACATTCATTACTTTTCAGCAGCAGAAGATGGAAGGGAGCTAAAGCATGACCACCACTGCTTTCGATCCTGAGCCATATCTGATAACGTCTCAAGCCACTGAGTTGCGTGATCTCTCGGATCCCATCCAAGGAGTCGTGATGTACCAACAGATGATAACTCGACACAATTATCCTTTAGCCTATGGTGCCATGTCATATACTGATCACTCCTCCCGCTTTTTCCATCCAGTTCCAAGCCAAAGGCTAGCAAACAATGAACGGTATGTAAGCCGTTGGAACGACATGTGTAACATATATCCGAACCAACGAAGCCGGTGTTTCAAAATGACTTCACTTATTGAGTGATAACCTCCATCATGTTCAAGTACTGTCATACCTCAGAATTACTTACATGGTGTTCCCACCGGACACAAGCAGTCCTACGGAAACAACGATGATCGAACATACAGAGTCGTCGCATATCCTCAGCTTGGAGAGGTCAGGTTTAAGGTTTAACAGGTGTAGATTAGAACTGCTCGCACCGAAGCGTCATAGACCCAACCTTTTATGATAAGACTAACGTCACGGCGGTGCCAAACGTGGCCCAGACTGGTGTATACCACTTTGGCTTTCCATATGCTGTTAGAAAGTTCATTACTCGCGCCTCCACTGGCGCTCACACAACTACCCAGATGCACGAACGTTTCGATTACTTCCAACGGCACACTACCAACAGTGAGCGCAGACACGAGCTCCTTCCAATTTTGCAAAAGTACTTTGCATTTCAGTGGTGTAAAGCACATACCACAATTACGGAAAAAGTTATGTATAATCACCTCAACAGGTAAAACATTGGACTAGTAATAAAAACCCTAATAAAAAAGCAATCCGTGAAACTGTAGTTAATTACTTACTTATCATATCGTTTAATTAGTACATAACTTAAGGATTAAACTGCGTGTAGTGAAGTATCGGCTAGGCAACAGTAGTCAGGTTTATCAAACAGTTGAAGTCAAGTTGAAATCTATCAAATACAAATAGACTCATAAATAGAGACTTCCTAACACACTCAGTCCTACTATTCAGAGGTCATATAATGGGTAACCCAGTTAACATTGGTATACTTATTCTAAGTAAAAAATAATAGTCCACAGATTAGATTTTAAATAACCCAGATAGTCACAAAAAATCAAAACAAATGCGTAACATATTGCTTAGTTTCATCACAAAATCAGCGGAGAGCAGTTAAAGTGTACTGGTGACAAAAAATAGATTCGAAATCGTCAACAATTACAAGACGATTCAAGAATATGAAGTGAAAGGGCATGCGCGCTTGCATGAATATAACAAGTAGGATATAAAATGAAAAAAAAAATTGAAGCAAAATGGAAAATGAACAAGTGGAAATGATATGATGGCCGTTTGTTAATCGTCTACTACACTGAAACGCAACAGAAAGAGTTGCTTTGGTAATATTAATTGTAAAGCATTATACATCTCTCTATAATCATTGATAATATGCAATCAACTATTGTGATCAGTGTCCAAAAAGATAAAACTTGATGAATCTAGAATTTGATTAAGAGCAAGGAACCAAAAAGAATAATAAGGTTAAAAAATAACAGGCATCTTTCAACAATACAATAGAATGTCAGTAGAAGATAAGAGGTCTCTTTGATGCATATTTACACGTGAAAGGGTTCTTTGCTAAGTTGTCATCCATCGGTTATGGAACGAAACCAATTGGCAATCCAGATTGATATTCATATATAAGTGAATTCGATATACGCCAGTTAAACTGGCTGATTAAGCCTTATACACTCAAAGGTATTTATGTGAATATAAGCTTCCAGTTACAGCTTGTACAGAAACGATACGAATAACCACTGTTTAGTGAAGTTGCATCGATGAATGTTTAAGGTTGTTAAGAATCTAAAATGAAATAAACTTGGAGTAAACATGGAATGGACAGGATGAATAGAAAAAAACCATTTGAATAATTTAGATACTGTCTTTTCATAAAAACGTCCTTAAACCGAAGGTACATGTCTGACATTGTTACTAGAAAAAAGCCGTATTACCCCATAAATACACACTACACAAGGTAAAAAGATGGACAGTTACAGTAATAATAACAAATAACAGGGATGACACAAAAGAACTACGAATTTCAGCAATGAATTATACAATTAACGAAAGTAAACACCATGTTACATGTCTGTGTACATACAGATAATATTTATGCACCAAAGATATGTGGATATGGCACACTTTTGAAATTTCTCACTGGAAGATTATGTAAATTAATCTCTAGTTTTAGGAACAGAATACACGTATCGGTTGTATAGAAAAGGCAAGAGAACAGAAGCAACTGCAGAAACAATAAAAACAACGGAAAGGGAGAAAGACACAACGTGTATACCTACCTGATTAATACAAAATAAAGACAACTGTTGAAAGGGATATTTGAGAAACCATAGACAAACGTGGAAATTAATAAATATGAATAAAATAATAAGTTTAAAGTCAAAAAGAGAAAACGAGTTGTCAAAGTATTTCTTCTTCTATTTTGTAGAAGATTATTAAATGCAACTCAGTAGACTGAGATAATGTTACTAACAAAAAACAGGACGGTTAAACTTACAAAAGAACTAATTCATAAAGATGTGTATTAAAATCAATTACCTTCATGTACTTATCCTACCTTGAAATTACATAACGTCGGTCCAAGTAACTGCTTCCAATCGAAATCAGAGTTTCTTGCATAAGAACATACATTTGGTACCGGTGGGTCGACCAGCTTCCATCGGCGATCCTCTTGAGCTAGCAACAGACCACAATAAGGGACAATTGATGTACGATGTTGAAACTCATCAGCTGATAAGTTACTTTTTAGACCATGATAAACCAAATGACGTGTACATGTATCCAATGAAGAAGCATGAGCAACAATCAGTAAACATGTATCTGAAATATTAAAAAAATATAAAGGAAAAACACTAATGACTTCATGCATATACAGTCCACTACAGATCAACCTTTTACTGATAAAAACATTTAAGGAAGACTGTTTATGTACCACTAAAGTAACCACGTTGTACGAACTAAATTGGAAGACATTTCGACAGTTTTTAAATGCATAATCCTATCCCAATAAAGAAGATAGATGAGGTCCAAGCCGGTGACCCAGTGCTTGGGAGAGGAGTATATATATTAAAATACCAGTACAGCCAACCACTTCGTTAAATAATGCATAGGACGAAATGCGCATCCTGGATTCCACTGCTAACCACTGCCCATCACTACTATACATAGTTAAAAGACAGGCAATATCAACGCATCCGCGCAGGAGCCCATATGCCAATAGAGACTGATCAATTCGGTCCAATCAACGACGGTGTAATACAAGCAATAACACTAAACCTATACCCGTCGCACAAGAAGTGGCTATCGTGGCTAGGTGGTGTAGTGGATAACGCTCTGGCGTTTGAAGCGGTCGCTCCCGAGTCCGAGTAACGGTTGGAACAACATTCACTGAGAGGCGGGTACATCCAGTTGACGAGTCCCAAATAGGACGAGATGTGCATACTGGATTCTACTGCTAGTCACTGCCCATCATTACAATGCTTAGTGGGTTGAGGAAAATCCTGTCAGCACATAAGCTGATACTACAATTCCGCTTACAAGAATTCTGAAGACATATGCCGATGTTAACTGCTGAAGTAACACTTGTCGTACAGTGCTAACCAAAAAGACTGATTGACTCCTCATAGTTTCTTTCACACTGATCTACTGCATATTTTGAGAAAGATGAAGTTACTGATACATTTGGTGGATGCTTTGATAACATTTCAAAAAATGTAAACCAAATAATTGCGATTTAAAGTATTATCGGTTATTTTTGCTACAGTTAATTGTAGATAGTTTCATCAATTATAACTGTCTTTAGAATTTATTTCACATAAAGAATATATGCTCTAGTTTCCGAATACGATGAGAAATTTTCTGCATCGCATTTCTGAGAAATTAATCTCATACATACTAAACACAAATACAACTGTCCTTATCAACAAAAAGAATCCTGACAGAATATTACCTTTCCAACCTCCTACGTAAATATAAGAGTGGGGCGTAAAATTAAAAATTATTTTCTATGACCAGATTACACTAATACCTACTTATCTACATAGTTTAGTACTGAAACATAATGATTTCATTATTTACCATTATATATTAACATCAACCAGTGACTTAGTCATGAATGGAATCTCTGAACAAATAAAAAAGATTCCCCAAACACTAAATGCACATTACATTTACAACAACAGTGAAGTATAAAGACTTAATAGTAAGAAAAAACCGTCTAAGTTAGAAAATAAGAAACGTTTATCAATAACTTCGCTGAAACAGCAATGAGAGTTGCAAATATCAAATTCGCAATGTCGAAGGTAAGATAAAGTTTTATTGCTAAATAAGAAAGATAAAAAAAGGTCGATGAAGTTCAGTGGAAAAATTTATTTTACAACAGAATATGAATCAAAAGTTGTACGGTCCTATTTACTTGACTAGTTAAAACAAGTAGTTAATCAAACAACTAGTTATATTCAAATGGAAGTTAGTTAGGACTGAGTACTTCAAGTTTCGGACGCGTTAGCAGTGCTTCCCGTGAAAGCTGAAGATCTTGGGATCAATTATAGGTGTGCATTGCTGAAGAGTCTTACACAGAAACGAAATAGCTATCCAGTGCTTCTAAGTTTCCAATGGTTTTCAGGATGACATTATTCCGGGAGTAAGACTGCTCTAGCTAGCATATTTTGACGAGATAATTGATAATTTGCTTCCAAAATTGAAAAGATATACTGTTATAACTAAAGCAGTAGAGAAAGTGCTTCAAGTAAGCAAGGTGGAGAATTAAAACTGACTACCTGCCACAAGGACATTGACACAAAGATAAACGATAAACAGAAAAAGACTATCAATGTTAACTTGCAAATCTTTTTAAGAGTAGATATGTGATGTTGATCTGCTCAAATAAAACAGCTTGTCTTGGCTTTCAGGGATAGTCACAATGAAGTACATTGTCTTCTATACGATTTGATTAAGATGAATTCTCATGTGAAACCACCCAAATAAATAAAATTTGCAAAAATCCTGATATGAATTTCTTTCCAAGAACCAAAGTGAACAAGAGACTTCTCAACAATAAACCAAATGTTCGAGTCATGTGTAAAATCCAAAACACAGGATTTGTCTGGAACACGGCGATACATCATTAAAAAATACTGAGTAATAAAATACAAGCCTTGAGTCGTGAGGTATCTGCGGGTTTATCGCTTTCAAAGCACCTGCAAAGAGTACCTCAATAGCAAAAAAAGCAGGGCTGTGTTCAAGCAACCAGAGGGTTAGTTCTCACGATGAGGTAAAGACACAAGATAAACAAATGTTCAAGGTAAAATAGAATATCAGAGGGCAAAGAGAAAAATTACAAGAGCACCATGAACCATGAAAGATACTGATATCTATGGATGGTAAATGGTAGACAAAGGAACAGAATGAAAGGTCAAGATTGGGTGAAACTACATTATAAGAAAACATGGACTAAACTACTCAAAAGTACTACGTAGTATAAAACAATATAAAAAGAGGAACAGCGTATAGGGTAAACGAAGACAATAGAATTAACACCTAAAAAGGTTGACCTAATTTACAATTATCATCTATTCGAATGTCTCAAGTTATCCTGCTTTGCTATGCTCTATATTTGTGACCTACTGAAAGTATACAAGAAAGATAGGCACTTTTACCCAGTAGTAGATATGAATAACTCTCTACGATGTACAAAAGGTTTAGAAAGTTCTTCAGGAAGACAAAACTTCAATAACTATATTTTAATGAGGTATGTATAACGCACACAAATACATATCTCATGAAACTGCCTTGCCTTAAATCCTGTAAGCCTTCCCTTCAGTTGTGATCTTTGTGTTGGCCTAACCATTTAAGATTTTCAACTGTTAAGCGGGTCAAGATGTAACTCAATTCCTAGTTTCCATGCCAGTGTTGAGCATTTGAAATTCTAAATCATAATCTGACGATTTAAGATATAAGTGAGTGACCTGTAAGTTGTCAGACAAGAAATAACTGGCAACATTGAGATAAAATAAACACCAATAATCTTTTTATTTTTAGTTTCGTAAGTAACTCAAAGATGTGACAAATAAGATAGAAGTCAGGCGATATTTCTTCAGTGAGACTTACAAAAAGTTACAGTTACACAAAAATTCGAAAGTTGGATAGTCTGACTTGCACTCCTTAAACCAATAGTTACTGTTCATCTCATTAGTTTGACTATGCTGATTCTATAACGTCAGGAGGCATGGAAAACAAATGTTATCTTTGAACATCGCCTTACTCATCAAGTAATGTCCTATTCCAAAGAAACAAGTGCCCACTCAAGACAAATAAAGTATTGATAACAAATTTCTCAAAGTTTTTGTTTTCAGTAGACTATTTCATAGCTAAAGGACTACAGATGAATCACAGATAAATGTATACTCCATTTATCCTTTTTAATGAGAATAACTACCATAGGTATAGTAAAATAACATTATCATCTCATTCACATATGTATCAAAATAATACCGGAATTTCTTTTTTTTTTTCGCATGACTCAACGAAAGGAATAGGTGACAGTTCCATTAGGAAAAATCTACAAAAACAGTATGCCAAATTTCAAAGCAGATTATCACTGAAGCGGGAAATAAACCTAAATTTTTAGTTTGCCAAAGAAATCAGAAGAATGTTTACGAAAAATTAGATTGGTATATCAGCTAGAAAAATGACTATTTTCATTAGAAATCATCTGAAGTCGAAACAAAAAGGAACAACTTCACACGTTTCTAAAAGGATTGTCAATGACCACTGGATTCAAAAATGATATCCCTGTAAAATTATCAACACGCTGACTTCACAGAACTTAGATTTTCCCTTCTGCTGTTTACTCCACAGGGTAACTGGTTCAATGATGGGTAAGAGAGAAGTATAAGTTCTACACAAATCTCATGTATCCTCACCAATATACGTACTATTATGAAGTGTCAATCAACTATCCTATCTCCAAACAACTTGATTAACTCCCGAAAAACTTTTTCAACAAAATTTCAAGTCAAACGATAGATTCACTACTAATCGATAGTAGAGGCGTTAGAAATTTAGTATTTCAAACAACAGTAATATGCATAACAACAGAAGGCTTAGTCTTGCATATATTTCATTGTTTCGATATGCTGGCAACCATTGTCTTGTCTTAATGTGCGCCATATTTATCATTCCCACAATTATGCAATACCTTCCCAGGTCTAAAAACAACTAAGCATTTTTCAAGTAAAACGTCTTTTGATAACATAATATCAGCCGGCAATAAGATAAATCGTTTCTTTCGTGCTGAAAGAAATACTGCTTTACAACAGCTGAAAAATAATTCAGCCAAAAAAAAAACTTTCTCTGACCTGCCTACCAATTTTCCTATAGTCTACTAATTTTTTTAGCTGGTATATATATATACTGTGGATCAGTAATCTGAATAAGAGAGAACAAAATCAAACTGCAAAGTGATCAAATATAGATTTTATTCTTGCTGATATGTGTATATGTGATGATACACCTTGAAAAGGCTCAAAGCAACAAATAATTTAGAGATATTAAAAACAAATGGTACAAATGTGTATGGATCTCTACATCGATTTATCGAGAAATGTGGTGTGATATGATTTCTGTAATGCAAAAAAAAACGCCATCGAAAGCCAAATGAAGGGCACATTCAATTAAGACAGCCATAGGGTATCTCAAGAAGTAAATGACCCGAGATGGTCAATCAACGTTTATCCAGATGGTGTTTAACCTTCATCACTACATAGTTTTCAATTAAAGATGCACACGCAACGACTGCTTGTCAGTCAATTTACCCATTAAAGAATTAGTGGAATAAATTCAAATCGATTTCATTATAGACTATCCATGAATATTAACTTCATGAGTGCATTACATCAACAGTAATCCGCTATGAACCTGCAACAACTCTCATCACACAAATCTGTTTTAAAATAACAGGATCATATGGTTCCTGAGCACAATATCGAAAATGTGTTAACGTGTTTATTTGTCCACGTTAGTTAATTTACGGTTCTAACCTGAATGTCTTGAAACCGGAGGTTGTCTTGGGCATCATATTTAGTGGAATGCTATTCCTAACTGTTTAGACAAATAGAGAATAACAGGAGTGAAGAAAGGCTGCTTTTATAATGGGCATACACAGTTATAATTAACCAGTATCGCATTCACTGGTGGCTCATTCTTATAGATCGGTTTCCGATACAGTTTGGAATGCAGGTAATCTATGAATATGTAGCTTGTTGGTTTAGGTAATCATCTTTCAACCAAGAGATCAAAGGTCCGAGCCCCACTTCAGCTATCGAGGCTTAGGTTAAGGGTAGTATCATTCACCTTCACACAATAGATGTGGTTCATTGCATGATGCATGAACGTGCACGTGGTCACCGAGAGAGTATATTTCGAAAAATGCACTCAGCAACCTTGTACACATATGTGCAGCAGGCAATGATTCACACCTGTTGTATGACGGCTAGTGATATTACCTTGCTGCACAAACATCGATAGGTAGCGGCTCAGTAATTTAGGGAGATGACTGCCAACCATTAGATCACGGGTTCGAACCCCGCTCCACCTACCGGTGTCTGTGTAGCCAGGTAGTATCACTATCCTTCATTTCCTAGTGTATGAATGTGCACACGGTTGCGGACTGCTGTATTTCCTGTAGTACTGATAAGTCAACACATATATTTGGCAATATTTCCGGATAATAACGTAACGAGAATGAATCGCACATATACCAACTAAGTTCTGAAGTTGAAGCATATACCTGGAAAAGAAAAACAATGAGAAGAATAGATAACTCCAAACAGCTACATCGAGACGTACGTATAACAAAACAGCCAAACGTAATCAAGTACATAACCAACGTGATGCATTAAAGAGCATTTATAAAAAAACCAAAAAACAGTGACACTATTGCATACTACTACTAATGCTCTTACCTTTAGATTTATGAACATTCAAAATACGCTTAACTAGCACAGCAGTACGATTAAAATAGCCTTGTATAGATTCATGAATATCCTTCTCACTGAAAACGCTTAGAGGCTTGTAACTTGTATCCACATTATAACCAGCATTTTTCAACTGATCAACTGTCATCATTTTCGGTGCACAACCACCAACATACCAACCATACCATTCAAATAAATGTGGCTCAATGCGAACAGCTAAATCAGACTGGAGAAATATAAATAACACAATTATCGGTAATGTGATCATGAGTAACTATTGAAATCAAATGTATCTTGTAGTACAAAAGCATGACTGAATGCTAAGTCTGGAACAGAACAACCACCTACATCGTGCCAGCGTTTTATCAGTTCGAGAAAGACTGATATGTATCTCAGACAAGTACCACCAAATACACTAATTTAAAGACAATTCAACTTGTTCTATAGTAGTAAAGAGAAATCCAATGAAGCAGTAGAAATTGCTTATTGAGAAAATACAACCGATGATGGTGAAAACCCTAAATTTTACAATATGATTCTTACATTTGTAAACAACCTTTTGTTCTGTATATGAGTCCGCACTGTCGTTTCTCTTCATACTCCTATCCAATGTTGTATATTAGCTTTGCACGAATCAGTCAGTCAACATGGAACCTGACCTGTCATTACTGCATAACTGTCAAATTCGCTAAATCTCACATCAGCACATACAGAAATAAGACTGCAAAATGAAAGATAGAGAAACACGGATAAGATGTTACAACAAGTCACAAAGTTATCGGAAGAGGAGATAAATTTGTATACATCTTCTTTATCTTCTAGCTACATTCGCCCTACGGGTTCTTTCACTGTGTTTGCTATCTGCATTGCTAACTAAACCACCTAGTTTTTTCCTACTGAGAATTCGTTATTTAATCGTCTGCTTTCGTGAACTATTTTATGCAGTAAACACTGATGAAGTCGTCTGGCCTGGTTATGAAGAGTCTGAGAACTAACCTCAAAACTCGGTGAATACTAAGCAATAAGCATACTCATCTTGATCCACAAATCTCTTTAATCTCAGTTTTTTAATAGGTTTGAAATTTTTTTTTGTGCTCTCTCTGTTCACACAGGTTTTTAGGGTACTCAGCAACTCGTACAAAGGTACCGCTACATCACTGGTGATTTTAATAAAGTAACTGTATAATGCTATTCTTCCCAAAACCTGTCGGTTTCCGTTTTGAATTCAGGACAACGATTTTCATCTTCAGAACATATTATGGTTGAGGTGTTAATTTGCAACATTTAACAGCATGTAACATAATGCTAGGCAGGAGAGATAATTGAATTCATCAAGTTATAAACCTGCAAGAAGTGAGATCATATGAACATACTTAAAAAAGGTATACAGTTGGTCAGTTTACTAAAAAAGGTGAATATAGTTGCAATTAGATAAGCCACCAACTCATGAAGATATTGAATTTTGGTATGAGTTACGTGAACAGTTTGTTTTGTGTTCTACTACGAAAGTTAAAACAAAAATGTAACGTCTCGTCTCTCGTTTTCTCTACAAGACCCACTAACAGACAAAACATCATGTAGCTCATCTATTTTGAAGTACTTATTCATACGAGTACGTAAACACACAACTCAGACTGAACTTATCATGAAAATATCTAAACAAGGTAGCTATTGAGTTTACTTAAATCACATAGATTCGAGAATATTGCTACAATGTCACAACAGATCATTGCTAAACAAGAAAAGTATTGTTGAATACAAATGTCAAAATGAAATAAATTTAATCCTTAGATTGTAGCTGTGCATAAAGAAAACACTATAACACATCAAGACATACGCGACCCATTGCCCGTAGTAATTCACAAGCAGTTTGAACACATCGGAAGGCCGGAGAACAATAGCATGCAGTAAAATAAACACCGGCATCTGCTAATGCTCGACCAGTTTCAGCTGATACAAACAGGCCAACTTGAGTTATTGGTGAGTCCAAGATATATTCTAGACAATCTGATCGAGGGGGCAACCAAGGTGGTAGATTCAAATTAAATCTACGGTAGACGCCTACAAAAGAAGTTCAGAAAAAAAAACTGATCAATTTACATAACAATTAGCAGTTTGATTAAAAACATAGTGTGAAAGTTAAAATTAAATGGATTAAAAAAGCACGATTGCGGATAACTTTTTGTTGGTTGATCTTCAATTAAGGGATGATGGAGTTCGTACCCCACCCCGTCTATAAAAGTTTGAATATTGAGATATCAGAAGCCCCTAGAAGGTAGGCAGGATTCATCAAATAGTGTGTGAACTTGTACATTTTTGCTGAGTTACATTGGCTAAGCAAAACAACATAGTTATCAGCTCGCACAAGTGAGTAGGATGCTAGTGAGTTAAAATCAGGTTTCATACAGCAGAATAACATCGAATTTTAGAAATAACACATCACACCTAATAATCTCAAGCTTTCACTACTAAACTGACTACAAATACAGTTCACAGTAAGATTTACGACTTAGTGTGATTACGCTAAAACCCAGAGCAGTGGTTTAATGGTTGTTGGAAGCGACAGTGAAAAAATGGATAGCGAATAAGCCACTATATTTATCCACCTAAGTATATGTTTTAAAAGTCCACAAAATTGCGGTCTTGCACAACCTGCATCACGCATAAAAGCGTAATTCATGACTTGAGCATAGTCGAGTCAACAAGGGAAATGAAATAACAGTGCATCAATGCACCATGCCACAATTCATATAAGCATATCAACTGAGAATGGAAAAAAGATGATGAAATTACGAAAAAGGTAATCAAAAGTGGTGTGGTGTACTGTCATGAAAAAAAATAAGAAAGTATGAAACAATTAAGGAATTCGGTACACCTAGTAGGATAAAAATCAAGTGCGGACACATATTCACCATCAACATTAATTCACAACCAAACCATTGTCTCTAACCAAGATCTCCATTATCACACTAATCGATAGCTGGAAGTTTACATTTCCCTATGTGGGCTACACTAACAGTCAACCCCCCTTGATTCATTAACGCAATTGTTCCAACTGAAAAATAATTCAGCTATAATTTTGCAACAGTAGATGGTGACCAGGAAAGCGCAACATGAACCCCAGCCATCTAAGGTGAGGAGGGTTCACAATCGGATCAAATCACTTTCCTCTTCTGCACAAAACTGTACACCTGACTTTTACCGTACTGACGTGGTGGGACCACGACACAGGGTCAATGCTACGAAGGCAACAGTGGTTGAACACCGACAGCCTCCTCATAACCTCTACTTTTAACAGTCATATTTTACTGCCATACAGTAGAACAGGAATGGACTGCAGTGGAGTACACTCAACGCTTAATAGGTAATCAGATATCGCACCAGCACCATAAGCGGTGTAAGTTGGGGAAGGCCAACAAAATCTTTTACATTTGTGCTGAGATTTCGTCAGCCACTGACCCACCATGGCTGATCACACTTCCTCGGTCAATGAAATCATCAACATACTCAAGGACTTCATTCTTTATAGCCATAAAAGCCATCAACATGGACCAGTAGTGGAGAAACAATTTGTATTTGAGCGGTGAGAAACGTATCCCAAACATTCTCAAACTGCCACTCAAAGTGTTCAGTAGACTCTGAATCTTCACCTTAACAGAACTACATCATCTGCATACCCAGGTCTATGAGGGAGTCCTTCAACAAAACCAGTCCATACAAATTCAGACGAGACTAAGAAACTAAGATTCTAGACACCATGTTCATCGGACTGATTTACCTGAGGCTCTCATAGTAGGGTTTCTCTGCTTCTTTGAAAACTAGGACACTCAGTGATTGAGACTAATCAGAGGCCAATATATTTGACTCCCACACGCTACCTAGTACTTCAGTCAACCTGACCAATAAATCACAATCACTATCCTTAAATACTACCGACACTAGCCCACCTGGCTCCGTTGGCATTCCTCTTTTCAGGTCACTTACAGCTTTCTGAACTTCAGTCAGAGTTGACTGATTTGTCTCCATGTTTCATTCAGTATTCAACTAAATTGTCGGTAATGGAATAGTTGTTAGACATCTCTCAAACTGAGCTTCAAGGTGTTTCACTCATCAATCCAGTCATGGCTGTGAATAAATCGCAGACCTACACTCCTCCACTATAGCCTCACTAATCATTGGCTTTTTGCCTCAGTTTCCTTAGCTAGTTTAACTAACTGTTTAATGTTAGCCCCCACAGCTGCCGTTTTAACCTCTTTAGCCTTCGCTACTGACCACCGTTCATGGTCATTGCATAGACTTTATTAGTCTATAAATGGGTTCCTCCCGCTCGTCATTGTACTCGGAACCTACAGGAATATATTCATCCACCTCCATTTATTTGGAAGAAGCTGATGAGATTGAATCACTCTTATTATCTTTTGGGCGCTATCCATTCCAAACAATCTCATCACATGTGAACTTGTCAAATAGTGACGGCAGTCGACACTCTCCAATTGCTCACATTGTTTAAAGTTACCTCTTCCCAAGGTAGCAGGAAAAGAAATTGGGTCCAACGGACACTTGTTTGAGGCTGGTTACACATGACTTCGGAGCATTCACATTCAGCTTTGACTGAATTATCTCCAGCTATAAGCCCATATCTCCAGCACTAGAAGACCACAAGGTAGGTGGGGGTGTCCTATTTAAGGTGACCTTTTATAACCTCACTTCTCAAAGGGAACGTAGCACCAGCGTGGTACCGATGATTATCCGCAGGAAACACTTTACTGTTGTCACGCATCCACCCAACCAACAGTACGAGTTTGCTCTAGGACTTGGGTCACAGCAAAGTCAGTTCTCACTAAAACAGATACTGTTTTTTATCTTCTCACTGCTTAACAGACCACAATCGAAAAACGGTTCTGATCAGAGTAGCTCTTTGAGTCATTGTGATATGTGAACCCGACCACCACATAAAGAGAGTAGCTTTCAGTGGGGGGGGGGGGGTTCTAAGTTAAGCATTAGTGTATAATCCGAATCCACAAAATAAGACAGACGCCTACAGTTTAAACATTATTATAATCTATACAGGACTGCACTACTCAGAATTCTATGACTTTTAAACTACCAAAGTTGGAAGCGAATGATGTAGAATTTATACACATACTCAAGCCCCAGTTCTTATCGATTCTCCTTCCATGTTGTCATATTTCTTCGTGTCGTGGCAGACCCAAGTTCGTTTTGAATTTTAAAAAAATCCACATCTCTTTTGGTATATATACCGGGCACTCATTTACTTATTCTTCGTTTATCTAGATTGCTGAAATCATTGACGACTTCAGAGATAAATTTAATTTTCCAACCTCTTTAATTTTCTTCACCCTTTCCAAGCACGTTATTACGCCAGGAAACGAGCTCAGGACCTTCAGGTCTCGCAGCGAACGGTTAACCATCCACCCAATGGGCTGAATTCCAATGGTCCACAGTTTCCTATTCCTATCAATTAGCGAAATTGTGCGACTATCGTCTAAGGTCATAAATTGGCATCCACTTTACTTCCAACTTAGCTGATCCCATAAGTCAATCTGATTGGCAATAAATAATGAGGAAAACATCATATTAGAAATTGTTGTGATGATGTTAATTTGCGCATGTAAAAACTTCATTAATTGCACTTGAGGATAGAAATTGATGATGGTAAAAATGTTTGTGATTTGCTAGTAAGGGTAGCGTTCTGTCCCATTACTGGAAGGTATAAGTTTTGAATACGGAATCAATGAATCAAATATATTCAACTGACGACTATCTATGAGGAGTCGAAAAACACTGAACTGGGGTGAGGTGCTAGCAATTACAAGTAAAAACAAGTGAAGCGAAGCATTGTCCTATGTTACAATGACAGATAAATATGAGACCTAAGCACAGTTGATGCTATACAGGTAGCAAGATCAAATATACAAATATAACTCAACAATCGATTACAAGTTTTTGTACAATGCTGTGAGCCCAATCTTGTAAATAATGTCTAATAAGTGTTATTACTAACACTATTACTAGCTATCAGTCTACTTCTCAATAAGTAAAAAAGAGTGGTGACATATGATCCAATGACTGAAAACTGAACGTCTAGATTAGTGAAACATGGAATTACCAAAAACATACCTCTATGATCGAAACACTGAGTAACCCATGCGTGACCAAAACTGATATCCAGACGTTCAGCATGTCGCATAACATACATCTGTCTCGACTTAGTATGACTATGGCGTTTAGCGCTAGTTGTTGTTGCGATATGCTGATAACTATAGCTTTTATCATTAGCATTAATATTGATATGATTTAAGTCATCATTTGTCATGTTATTTGTTGTAGGCTGGAATTCAATTGAGCAACTTGAAGTTGGACCGCTAGTAAGGTATGAATTCCGCTGACTATCTGCACTACTTCTTTTTTAGTAGTAATTGTTTTGGTATTGGTAATATTTGTGATCATACCTGATTGCACAGTAGATCTGTCCTCAGGATCAATAGTTGGTCCAGAAGCGGATGATGTTGACGAAGAGGTAAAGGAATGTTTTGATGAATTGGGAAAACATAAAGATGACGATGATAACTGAGGGCACGATGAATTTAGATTTATAGCCATAAGGCTTGAGTTTTGACTTATCTGTCTTTTGAATTCTTCGCTATAGTGTTTTTCCTTCTGAGAATAACAAATTTACAGAAAAAAATAAACACATTGTTTCATTGTAGCTATGGTGAATTTGCTGTCACTTAGTTATCCAAACTATACGGCATTTTAAGGACAGCGAAAAGACTCTAGAATACCACGGGATAAACAGCAAATAAACACATGACGATAGAAGAAACAAGGTCTTTGTAAGTAGTACTAAGCGTTTTTAATTCAGCAGTGCATACCACTATTCAATGTTCATACATGCAAACTTCGTGACCGTTTCCTCATCGTTCAATAATCTACCAGTGTATAATGAAGCGAACAGCTGAAAATATCACTAAATGTTATCTAAAACTAACAATTTAAAACCAAATAACGAAAGTGGAACTTCAATTCACAATTTATTTGTAAATTTTACATAAAACGGTCTTCGCATTTGAGTTTTACAATTACCTGACTACACCATAAACCTGAATTTCTTCGAAAATCTTTTGAAGATCTAAACCAGTCATTTCCGGATGTGTTAAATCTTAATAAATTGAGTACTTTGAAAATACGCATCCTAAATCGTACGTTTCGCTGACCCATTCAAGCAACTTTACAATAGTTGGAGGATCTGAACAGTTCAGCCTTCATTCGTTAACCGAAGGTTGATAAAATGTTTAACACACTGAAGATGATAAGCATTACACTGCTGATTTTCATCACTAAATCCGGCGACAGACAACTCTCTTACAATACAATTCCATTCCAATTAACATCATGGGTCGAAGCACATGGTGGGTCACTACGTGTAATGTATGTTCAAGTTAAGTCAGTTGGTAGAGCTTCATAACTTTATCAACTGATTTCCTTTTTTTAGACAGTACTCTACATCTAACTTATGTTGCTTACGTAGTGACTTCACTATAATTGTGCAGTGCTAGGAAGGAATCTATGGTCAAAAACTTATAAACTCCTCATATCAACGGTTTTCGCCCAAACATGCAGTAGGACAACGCAAACTCCTACATAATACGGACATCCTTTAACAAGTAATCAGATATCTGGTCTAAGTTGACGAATGTCAAACGAGGTTTCAGAATCCCAGGTGAAATGTCAGTAACCAATCTGATCACCGCGATGCAACTATCCCAGGAAGCAAAGTTGTCAACGCATTCTATCACTTAACTCGCAATCCTTAGATTAAGAGCTGGTGCACATTAGTGAAGTTACATTATCTTGCATCTAAAAGGGGGGAAACGCATGGTAAACAATTAGATTTTTGTTCAATGTGTTCAGATGACAATATTTTGTTGTTTGGATAATTAGGGTCTACCATGTGCCCTTCAGGTAATCATTCAATAACTAAGAAGTCAAAGGTAAGTAGGTTCATGTTCATAAACACATAAACAGCATAGTTACATAAGAATGGTGGAAGTGGACATCCTTGATGGATACTACCCTTTATTGTTACTTCGTAAGTGTATATTTGGCTCTGAGTTGAAACAGAGAGCCTTGGTCAGCATAATGTTTGATATAGTCAGCAGCAGATACAAGTGTGAACTATTGAACAACAACCTAAGATATCCACTTTCAGAGTCGCTCAGTTCCTTAAAATCAGAAAGAAGTGGCACACGAAAAAAGCTCATTGTCAAGTAAAAACGTGTATATAAGGTAACGATATTATATATATATATATATATATATATATATATATATATATATATATATATATATATATATATATATATATATATATATATATATATATATATATATATATATAGCTTTCTGCGACCCTGATATTGCTACACCTTTTCAGAAAGGTCAATCTGAAACTAACAGATGACCACATAGTTTTTCCTGAATGTTCGGTGTGTTGGTTGTAGATTTCAGGGAATTTGTAACTTCTTTGAGAAATCTAAGAGGTAATAATCCACTCCATAGTAGTACTTTTGCTACGTACTTCATACATAATCAGAATAAATTGAAAACTTTGTTAACTTGCATGAGATAGTATTAGATAGGAGACTGATTTCAATGTTAGGAGTCAAAGTCAACAGGCCTGTTTGAATGCATAGTGTGACGATAAAGATATGCACATATTCGTTTATCATCTATTCACAGGCAGGCAGGCTTTAGACCCGGCCGCGGGTGCATCGACCAAATATTCACACTGTGCCAGGTTTTGGAACACAGATACACTTACCGATGCCCGACAATAGCTGTATTTCTCGATCTGAAGGTGGCAATCGACTCCGTTGATCGAGAAGTCTCATGGCAATGTCTGTCACTGAAAGGCGTGCCAAGTAAGTAAATCACCTTATCGAAGGATCTTTACTCAAATACTTGTGGGTGTGTTAGAGACTATGGTGAGATATCCAGGGAGCTGTAAGCGTCGAGCAGTATCCATTAAGAGTGCCCCCATTCTCTATTCTTATTCAATTTTATCATAGATATTCTTATGGAGGTCTCCCTCTCGTCACCTAATTACACAGACGTTGAACTAATCGCAGGAGAATTTTCGTTAGACCTAAAATACGCAGATGACTTAGTCCTCTTAGGTGAAGATGCTGACAAGATGCAGTCTTCTGGTCACCTTGAGTGCCAATTTGAGAATGGTTGGGATGCGTTTCTCACCACCCAAATGCAAATTGTTGCTCCAGGATTAGTATTCAACGGTGCCACGGCTAACAATAGAGAGTGTAGTGGTTGAGTGTGTTGACCACTTCACTTACCTGAGAAGTAGGATCAGCCCTGATGGCTCAGTGGCCGATGAAATCTCTGCACGAATATAAAAGGCTCGGCTGGCTTTTGTCAACTTATGAAACCTGTGGCGCCGCTATGATATCCAAGTGTCTATTAAGGGTCGCATGTACTGCATAGCAGTCCGCTCTGTTCCACTGCATGGCTGTGAAACATGGCTACTGAAAGTGGAAGATGTGAGAAGGCTTCAAGTGTTTGACCACCGTCGCCTTCGTAGTATAGGCCGTATTCCATGGTGTCACCACGTGAGTAACACAGAAGTCAGGTGTAGAGTTTAAGGGAGAAGAGGTAAGTAGTCAGTAAAGACACGGTTGTGAAACTTCATCGACTGAGATGGTTGGGACATGTGTTACCTATGTCTAGTCGCCGACTGCCTCGTCACACAATGTTGACTGAAGCAGGTTCAGGCTGGAAAAAGGCCCGAGGTGACCAGACCAAAACATGGCACCAATGTATGAAGTCTTTGACTGCTGGTTTAAGCCATGTAGGGCGATGCAAACTAGCCGGTTGGGGTCCGTGGGACAAGAGAAACCGGTGGTTGGGGACTCTAGGTGATATGGATCAGAACCGATGTCAGTGGCGCAGATGTATACACACATTATCCTCATCTTAACACTATATCGAGTCTCACCATTTTCTCATTCTTCATTTCTCTCTTTTCGTACTTTATTTCCCTTGACTGAATTTCCTTTTCTTCATCTCCAACTTCACTGACCTTTTACTAGATGTATCGATATGAGCTGTGGTAACTCGGACCGTTACGCAGTAATGCCTGATCCTATGTTGATTTGGATAAATATTCACATGAAAGTCGGGTAATAATGCAAACGTCTTAAGCTACTAATTCTCGTAGTTTAAGGATTAGAATGTCGGGTAGATAAACCGGATACTGCTGGGTTCAGTGCAATCATCTCTATTAAGCACTGACGACAGTTTCTTTAGCCAAATGTAATGAATAATTTACGGTAAAGAAATGAAGGAAATGAACAAATTAACACAGGAAATATGCGTATAATCTTAACAACATATATGAAATTTTTTTTCTAAAGAAAAATCAAAACTATGCCAAATACTTGAAACAATTAGTCTGGCTGATAATGAGAAGACGGAGATTATCTAAAACATATGATGTGTCGAACAGATAATTTGCTTGACTGTTTAAATCGAGAACCACATGACAGCAGAAAATGTTATACATACAAACACATATATACACAAGCACAAACGTATACTAATTAAAGAATTGGACTAAGTGAATTCTCAGTTTGACATTCGATAGATCGATTAAAGTATTCGTATGTGCGTGGAGGAATGGATTTTTGAACATATCAGTAGCACACACACACACACACAATGTTTCTCTTTCATAAAACTTTCAAATTTGATAGAATTCAAAAGGTGAATGGAGAAAAAGATGCAGTTAACAGATCAGATGATCTGTTATGTATAAAAATGTAAAAAGAAAGAATGAGATTTAAGATGGCGCTTAAAACCATTAGATAACTTATCTAAGCCTCTACAATACGTGATTTAATGTATTAAACTGGAGAGAAAAGTCAAATAATGAAGAAATTATGAACTCTGATCAGAAAGAATTTGTAGAACTTACAATATTTGATGAGTAATACATTTTCAGACAACAATGTTAGGTTGAGATTTCAAGGTAGTTAACACATCGTTCTGAACTATACACATATAAGGTTTCTTCAACCACAGTAAGGCTCTTTAATTACTCTCAAGATCCTAAAGACAAACGTCAGAGATGTATCTCAACCAGGAACTCAACCTGAACACAGGCATACTTTCTGAAATTTCGGTTTTTTCCTATGAAACAGGATGTATTCTCTTCCAGTAAAGTTTGAGTATATTTCAACTACACAGATGTCTAAAGCATATCTACTAGTTACTGGAAGGTAAATTTTATTACGCTATTTAGTCCTTATTACTAGAGGCGATAGAGGGGCTGTAGCTCATTGGTTTAACATGACTTTCAACGGACGGGTCACAAGTTTGAGCCCCGTTCCATCTACCGAGGTTTGGACAGCCAGGTAGTATCACTAGCAGTTACAAAATAGGTGTAGCTGATTGCCTGTTGCACGGATTTGCACAAGGCTCATGAGCGCATTTCAATTTCCAAGTGCTAAAAGCGATTTTTGAATCAGTTGTTGTCACTTTAAGTCAAATAACGGCCTATACCGATCCAACTAGCCAAGGTGATATGTTCAACTACGATGATGAGTGATAAAGAATGAAGTTGGTAAGAAGGATCAGTTTCTTTGAAAACTCAGAAACACTTCATTAGTGATGGTTAGAAAACTCAACATTCATGTGCCTAGGACTTTCAACTGATGGTTTCCAAGGATTCAAATATTTTACATTATCACTGTTAAAAGAAGCATCATTCTAAAACGTTTTCAAATGACGAAAATGCAGGATTAGGACAACAATAATTTTGGAAATCATACTACAAACGAATGTTCTGAGGAGTGAGTAAACCTTGGATATGCAAACAATCAGCATTTACAATGGTTAATAGATTATCATAGAAACTAGTGAAAAATAGCGAATTCGCTTTCGAATATCAAAATACAATGTTTTGAATGTGTCATGTGTAGTAGTATACTAGGTCTATTGTGTGTATGCCTACTTTTGTTAGGTATATACTACTGTCATAGATATTCTGTGAACCATCCGCGCAGAAAGCTGACTTGCCTTTTGCAATAACACCTCTTTTCCAAATCTGTCGTATCTAACCTTCCGATTAGTTTTTTTTTACACATGAAAAGACTTCAGTCATTTTCGACACTGTTCATGTTAAAATGGAGAACTAAAAATTTTATTGTGCTCGTAAATTCAACAAATTTTTCTACGATAATGCCAATGCTTAATAGAACAAAACTCAGTATTGTTTCACTGTTCTGAGGTTTGTAATTTAACAAGTTTCTACTTTTTTGTTTGATACTTGTAAATTCCCGTTGTTTTACAGGGTCAAGTTACCCGACCCCATTGGGTCCAGGTACATCCAGCTGACAAGTCTCAAATAGGACGAAATGAGCATTTTGGATCCTATTGCCAGTCACCAAGATGAGTACATGTTTCTGCTTTTCTGCAGATAAACAACATCTTAGGTATGCGACAGAATCCTACTCCGTACTTGATTGTTGATCCGCGTTTGTCCAAGAAACATTAACTTTTCTGGTTGAAGTTTGCAATACAAATACGACAAAAGACATTACACTATCGAGGTAAAAGTTCGAATGGCATTAGCATCTGACCCATCCGGTATTTAAATTGCATTGATCGCCAGAAACAAAGCTGTACTAGTCGGACTAGAAGGAACTCTTAAAATAAGAAGCGACAGGCAAGGAAAACGATATCTCTTCATCATCTTTGCCTGTACCAGGACTGATGGCAATCTGGTTGCAGTTAAGGATAAGTTCGATCACCAACTGAGTGGTCCCAACCAAGAAATCAGAACCAATATTGCAATGCCAGCTAGGAAACTGAATATACAGGTTGGGCGTTTATGCTTAGTGGAAAGTCGTTTAGGTGATCAGTGAAGAATAATCGGTTGAAAGTCTGGTAGTGAGAACCGTCTTCTGAGGCTGTGTGCAGACCACCTGTTTTTTCGGCACAGTTATCGCCGATTGCTACCTGGTCTTCTCCCTCTGCCCCTCAAGCCTGAATTCGTGACTAGGCAGCAATGGTGTGGGTGTATTCGGAACTACTGCTCCTTTTGGAACACTTGTCTAGACTTAGAACACGCTTTAGTGTGTGAAGTTTATCTTGCATTTTGGTGGCTGTCGAATCATTGCCCTTGAAAGGCAGACGTAAAAAACTCGTTGTAACTAGTATTACGACTAAATACCAAACCGAGCAAGGTGTGAAGCTGAAATTTGAAAATTCAGAAGGTATGGATGAGCACTGGTTACACTTAAAAGAGTTCATTAAAATCGCGAGTGAATTAGCTTGTGATTTCGAAGAATGTCTCGCTAATAACCACTTGGTGTCTGCGAGATCTTTGATACTTCACGCACGCTGGTAACTTGACAGGTAGCGAGTACAATGACGCGCGTAATTTCCTTACACGAAAAATCAAACAGCATCTACGTAAGCATCAAGAGAAATCGTGGTCAGAACGTGTGAATGAGATACGAGCAGTAGCTGCAACAATAAATGGCCGAAAGCTGTTCTGCTTCATCTGAACCACTGGTAGCAAGAAAGCTTGTCATTAGTGAATCAAGATTAGGCAGATGCGAAACCTTTGTGGGACATCGTGCGGAGTACTTTGAAGAGCAGCCCAACTAGCCTACAGTTCCGAAAATGAATTTAGTGCCTTGTGCTTCGAAGTCAATCACTGTCAAACAATCAAAACGAAGCGGTTGAGAGGGAACTTCACGCACCCAAGCAAAATAGCGTACCACGTTCAAACAAATCACTCTCAACACTAGTTAGGGAAATGACTACATTGTTTCACAGTGTACAATGGAGTGAGTTTCCCATTGTAGTGGGCGTTGCTGATAAGAATGGATACAAGTAGTATATGTTGAGAGGGCGGCAGAAATCATAGAGAATTACCAGCAATGGGTAAGGATTCTGACCTGCTATTGTTCTGATTGGCTCCTTCCCCTTTAAGTGTACTAATTACTCATTGTCTTTCAAGGTTACTGCAAACTCTATAAATACGGTCCATTTTGACTCATAAACGTTTTCAGTTCGAGATACTATAAACTCATCTGGTTTCCAGTCCTTTCATTTCGCTTTGCCAATCAGTCCGGTTGAATCGTCTCAACCCTCGACTATCATTCGTTAAGTATTTTCGTTCATCTTCACAACTCCACATCATAACACATCGAAATGCTAAGTGCTTCTTAAAAATTGGTAGGGGCTGTGCCGGTACTCATCCTTGATGGTGTATCTCTGGGAGTTGTTAAAAACCGTGTGAGTGCTGGTTGACGTGTGATGGGTGCGATTTCTAACTGAGTATTGAAAACCAGCGTCACAGACCACTTCAGATCGTCTTCAAGACCAGTGTGACACCAAACATGTGAGGAGTCCTGCTCTGCGCTCATGAAACTTGACCTATTTAAACTAATGATGTTGGATGGCTCCACGTGTCCAACCACTCAGAATTGAAACTAGTGGCGATCATGCTAAGATTTTCTTGTTTTCTCCGCCATCAAAACGCGAAATTAAAGTAGTGAATACTACTTTAAATACATTTTCTACACTACCTATTTGATAATCCACTTCTATGCCGTTTCTGTACTCCTTTGTTTTCCTTTTTTCCACATTGTCTTATTATTGTCGTTATACTGTTTTATATGGTGCACCTCTCAGTAGCTACTTTATATCAAGTAATAATGAAATATAACCAACTGAAAACTATACTTTCTCAGAAACTGTTTTCTTTGCAAGTATTAGTCTTTTTCTTTCCACTTGTTCTTTGTATGTTACTGTGAAGTGTGGTTAGTGTAATTTTAACAAGTGCGAGAAAAAACCTACAAAAATTGAAAACTCGAGATGAAGTACGAATAAAGAATTTGTAGACTTTGTAATGAATAAAGTGTAAATACTTATTATAACTGAACAATTCATTCGACAAGTAAATGGTGATATTAACAGGGTTTCTCCCAGATGTCATATGCTCGAAAGGAAATAGGGATACATAAGAAAGAGAATTAATCAAATGTCAGTGCATAAACAATAAAGATACTGGTGACTGAGTCTTAGCTCAACAGAATTTTTTTCAAATGAATTATACTCTGGCGTTTTACTTGCTAAACAAAATTAAAATAAACTATATGCTTTACTTACTGTGCAATTGCACCTGGAACACGATTCAACAGATGAAGAATTTACTGGGACAGAACTAGAAGAAAGAAAAATAGGAATAGAAAGTAGTGAAGTAACAATAACCTAATGTACTCGAAATGAATTTCATATAGAAGTAAAAGATGACTACGGATGAAAACTTTTTGCCTGTCACGATACTGTTCTCTGTATTAGACATGGTGTATATCTTCGGCTTGATATAGTAATGAGAATATCGCCAAAAAGCTGACCGACTAAATAATATGGATATTCCAATGCATTAAAAATCGATCTTCTAAAATCCAACCAACTATCTATGTATCCTTCATTAACCTGAAATCAGTGTGGAGATCTACTGCACTCAGCGTAAAGAACAAGATCCGGATTTTTAACATCAACGTCAAGTCAGTGCTTCTATATGGTTCAGAAACATGGCGCATCACGAAAAGCATTTCCAACAAACTATAGACATACATGAACAGCTGCCTCTTTCACTCAATGCTGAAGATCCGATGGCTTGAATAATAAGAATAAGCAACAAGGAACTTTGGGAACGAACCAACCAAGAACCCATCGCCCAACAAATATGCAGAATAAAGTGGAGATGGATTGGATCGGGCGTACATTGAGAAGACCATTTGGAGACATCACGCGCTAGGCCGTCAAGTGGAACTCAAATGGGAAATGACGAGTTGGGCGTCTTGGCGAGGGTGACATGGAGGAGATCATGCGAGGAAGAAATGAAAACTTGTGGGCGGCCGTGGAGCCAGGTTAAAAAGACTGCAGAGGAGAGAGTGAAATGGCGATGTGCTACTGAAGCCCAATATCTCACTAGGAACCCAAAGGACAAATAATAATAATAATCCGTATGTTCTTGAGTCTGTAATTATCCGCATATGAAAGCCAAATATGCAACCTTTTATCAGCCTTACAATTTCAGAAACAGCATTGCTGATGGAAATAATGGATATGTGTTACAGTCAACATAGGACTTTGAATAGAAGTGTATCAGTACAAGCCGTTATAATTCACACCAAACAAAGACGAAGTGAATAGAAAAAAAATGACAGTGAACTTCAAAACATGAGAGTAAAGAGAATGCCGGTAAACAGGTTCGAAATTTTGACGATGATAAAAATACATCTGTGCCACTGTGACAGATTTTGAGTAACATTATCAAAAGTCTCCAATCATTTATTTCAAACATCTAGAGAACGCTAGTCAGACAGTCTATACATTTTTAAGAAGCTTATACTAACCTGTTACGAGCGAAAATGAGACGAACTGTAATCAGCAATCACGTGTACATTCATGCATTAGGCATGATACCTCAACTTTTGTGTGGAGACTTTCTGGTCAACCAAGTCACAAAAGGCGGGGCTGGGTTCAAGCCCATAACCCCTTAATCAGACCAGCGAGCCACAGGTCGACACAATTCATGAAATAATTTCATGTCCTGATATGGTCAAGATCATCTTCCTTCCAACCCAATGTTACTTCCATTTACATCGTAAAAAGGATAAAGCATACTGATTCTCGGTGTTACAAGTGTGCGTTTGAATAGGTGTCCATTACTCTATACTTTTCGAAACAAGAGAGCTATAGCACTACCACCACCACCACTGGTCTCGACTATGGGTAAAATAGGGAGCCACTGAACCCTTAGAATCCTGAGACGCTCTGGAGTAGAAGAGAGTGAGATGATCCCAGTGATCCTCTAGAAATACTCATGTAGGTCGTATTCATGACCTATACCAGAAAAGTCCAATTCACTGCTTTCATGTGGTGGGAAGGGTTTTCATCAAAGTGAGAGGGTGGAAAAGTTCAGTGCTATAACCACATTGGTGTGCATGGAGCGTGCACCCAGAAGAGTGGGAGACCCTAATTTTAAGTCACCGGCACACATGGACCCGACCATCCAAAACGCAAAAAGGCATATGGGCTTACCTTGATCACCGGTGACCATACAAATCCAGCATCTCACGTTTTCCGCTGTCTTAAGAATCAGACTTACACGACAAATCAAAAAGCAAATGCATCACAAGTAATGGTGGCCAGAAAGTGCGAGTGAAATGGAAGCAGTAGCAACATCTAGCAACAGTTGAAAGCTGATCCAGCTCATCAAATCCACCAACAATCGGAAGCCTGGTGTCAGTAAAACGGTCTATGAAGTAGATGGTATACTGATAATCAACTTTCATAGACACCGAAAAAGCTAGGAAGAGCACTTAGAAAAGCATTTCAGTTACCCTACTGCTCCAGTGACATCAACCTCAATGTCCTGTGCTCGATGGTCAGTTAACATAGGTTCATCTGGGGAATTCCATGTTTTTAAGCGCCATAAGGTACCTGGAACATTTTGGGACACAGGTAAGACTGATTGATTTTATGGAAGGGTAATGGCAGACTGAAAGTTATTAATCAATATGGAACAAAGCCGTTGTCATGCTCATCTATACGTAATGAGTATGATAATTATTGGGGTATCAGCCTCTTACCGGTAGCGTTTAAAGTGTTGGCTGCCATCATACTTCGGAGGCTGCACAAAAAGTGACCAACAAAGAGCAGGTCAAGTTTCATTCGGGTTGTGGATGCACTGACCACGTGGACGCCCTCTAACAACGTAACACATATTGAAGATCAGGGGTTGTTGACTCCTCGATATTACGGTTGCTTTTGATTCTTTGGACACGACTGCACTCTAGAATTGACGGCTGGAGAGGAGTGGCCATGAGAAGTTTGTTAGCATCATGAAAGCTCTATACTTTAATACCCTAGCTTTGTTGAAGGATTGCAGTCACCAATCTCCATTGTCCCAAGCCAGTAGTGGGGTCAGCCAGAATCGCCCAGTTTCGCCATTCTCCTTTAATTTTGCCAACGATAACATTTTTGAAAGAGTACTGAAGGAAGTGTGTGGTGGTGTGAACCCATTGCAAGGTGAAAGATTTCGGCTTCAAGTATGCGAAAGATATTGTTTTACTGTGACAACGTACAGGCTACTCAAATCGCACCCAGTCACTCAGCCATCAGTTTCCGTAAATATAGTACGTGCTTCGCCTAACAAAATGCCAAATCCTTCTATACGATCAGTAGGAGCTTGTACGTGTACTAACCACCGTTGGTGAATCCCTGGAAGTTGTGGAAAAGTTTATGTACCGGCGTAGCTGTATTACTGATGAGGTTCCCAATCGTATATTAGAAGTTAGAGTGACAAGCACCACTCTGGACCACCTATGATATCATGATGTCAACCTTGCTGTAAAACGTATACTTCATGACTCCCTGAATGGAGTTCATGAGATAATACAACTCACTGGCTTGAAGGCGATTAAACAACCCAGCTCAGAGAAAACAATACAACAAAGACCATCCACCTGAGCTACAAATATTCTCCATTACTAGAAGACATGGCTGAGAAGCGATAACAGTAGCGATCATGCTGCAGTTTTCTTGTTTCCTCTTCTATTACTAGAAAGTAAAGCAGAAGTAATGAATGCTTCTCAAAGTTTATTTTTGAGACTGTTTTTTTTAAATAACACTCCTGTTTTTATTTCCATCCTCCTCCGTTTTCTGTGTCTTCATAACAGTGATTTATTTTTTAAGGTGCATCTATTCATGCTCATGTACCAAGTTCTTGTTTTAATAAATGAACAAATAAATAAATAATCAACAGACTTTATCCAGAAAGTTGTGATGCGCTATACGGTAATCCACACTCAATAGCTTTTATTATTCGGTATCAAACTGTGCACTAACCACCTCGCTCTGCTTCATACATCCACTCCCTGAGTTGCCAAACAGTTCACGAGAATTAGATATTGGATTTTCGCATAGCCCAAGGTGAATTTCGCAGATTCATCACAGTGACCAGAAGGGGGGAATAATAGAACCGCACTTGGGTTGTATATCGATGTTCCAGCAAAAAAAATTTTCATGACCCGATGTTGGAAAAGTTTTACCAAAGTAGGGTCTATTATCTGATTTTCCAAGCGGTTCAGACATCGAAAGCTTCAAATGAAACTGACTGAGCATTTCTAAAGAAGTTAGATGCTGTTATGCTGGCTCCGGTCGTTAAATGGTTGCACAGTAAAATACTGAGGAAACTGTAGATGGTTTAATATTGACAGTGCTAATAGGCTGTGAAGTCAGAGGGTGAGAAAAAGGTCAGAAAGGTAGGCTATACTTCGATGGGTTAAGTGGCTAGTTGGAAGCAGTCGGGCGGCTAACACTTCCCAATTGCCGTGTCATTAAAATTCCTTTTAAAGATACCTTGAAGAGGAAGTGGGGTTAATTTTGTGTTGCAGCAGAGCCTAAGGAAAATCTGCTTGAAGAAGGTTGCTAACGAATTTTTCAAGTGTGTTGGAGATTGTAGAGTTGCACCGGTACTTGAACTACCTGGGCGCCGGCAACTGAAGATAAGGTAGTGTACGGATTTTAGGACATAATTTTCCTCGCTCCTCCTCCTCTTCGGAGAAAAAGTAATAAAGTTGGGAAACAATTTACTGCCATTACACTTCTGTTCAGTCTGCAGTATGAAAACTCCCATTAAAACCATTGCCACAGTAATCTATTTACACCAAGAAAGTGGTCGCTTTTGGTCTTACTACTATCCAAAAGACGTTTCCGGCTAAGTAGGACTTTTAGGAACAAAAGTGTAGGTTAGCATAGCTCGTTTGTTCACTGAGATAAGCGCAAGCAGAAGCAACAAGTTAAGGTGGCAGCGGTCGTTTGGAAGGCTAGCCTAAGATCATTCTTATCCTGACATACAGTAATTAATGTTTGGGGTCAGGTTCACAGATCACAGTTTAAACCCGATACCTTAATTGACGCTTTACCCAACTAATAACCGCAGATAAGTGTTTTGAAATTATAACACCTATTCGATTAACAAGAACATTAATTTGGTAATAACAACCTAGTTGTAAATGAAAATTATCTTGTGAATCTCAAGGTACTCTGTAAAGCTTTCTTGAAATGAAATCAGTGGGATGGAAGTGTACCATGAATATAACTAAACATTTCCCCTATTCACCTTGCTTCACTGTAAACGGTAGGTTCGTAAATTCCGATAAACAACAAAATTAAAATGAGATACTCATCAAAAATAAGATTTACGACGTAATAATAGTAATGATAACAATAAATTGAGACTTTGAATAGTTACTATCAATAAAAGTCTGAATAAGACTGTATGCAAGATTACAATAAGACAAAAAGAGATTTTACCAATGCAGTGTCCATGTTTGACTTCGCGGTATACGTCTACCAGCCAACATATTGAAGAGACCAGATTCACCAGTACATAAATTTATCCCAAATGGGCAACCTAGTCGTCCATTCAAACAAATGGAATCAGTTAGCAAAACATAATCACCAGCATAATGCGAAAGAATATGCGTTTGACATCCCGGTGATGAACGAGTTGAACAATCAAGAGCTTCAATCAAACGGTTATCACATTGTAGCTGACTAATATTACAACTTCCTTTCAATTTATTATCAATATTAGTTGAAAAATCCGCAGATTTTTGTCCCACCTCCTCAGCCTTGGTAGAACCATTCTCAACGTATGAACTGATAAGAGGAGAAATGTTATCAGTTTCTACATCAGTTAACATTTCAAATACCTATGCATGAGAGAAATAAAATGATTATACATATAAATACATATATGTCGCAGTTCCAATTTTTGTTGCAGGTAGTTCAGTGCTCTACATCAAGAGGATACTATGTTAGAAAATATCACTAAGAGGACTCTCACTAGATGGCTGAAATGTGACAAACCGACATTTAGGCGTGGAAGCTTTGGGTGGGTTGGTGGTTTGCACTGATAAAGAGCGATGTAGTTCATAAGACTGAACACTCAATTTTCAACTATTACGTTTCGATTTCACACACCAACACAGACAACAAGCGTGATTTAGAGCCTTGTGCACGAACACACGCAGCAAGGTTGAGTTACATTAATTGCTTAAATTGATTCCTACTTCTATCTGGGCAAACCAGCAGTAATATCATAAAACCTCAAGTAAATAGTATGGCTTACAGCCAAGTACATAAAACTGGATCGTATTGAGTGACATTACTTTTACTGCCGAAGGGTGGAATTTACAAATGAAATGTAACTCAGCAACGAAGTAAGGGTTTATGTGCTAGGTTAATAGACAAATCTATTTTATGCGGGTTACTTAAAAAGCGATGTTGTGTAAACACTCATCATTCGTCACTCAGTTGACCCAACAGGTTACATGCTTCGTATTAAAACTTTAATCAGTCCCATTATAATGATGACAGTTTACCTACGTAACAATAAGACGATTTCTGAATTTGATTATCCTACTAATTGATCCCCTAAGAGTGGTACCTTTCTTGAAAGATAAGGAAACGTGCTGAGACCACCAATGTCTGGGTAGATAAGCCTGTTTCTGATTGGTGGAGCTGATATCTAACCAAAAATTACTCAATAAATATAGCAGACGCTTTGCAGAAAAAGAATAATGCAAGGATCCTCAGTGCTCATATAGTTTCAATATACACATTCGACAAAATAAATAAGAAACATGAAGAACTCACTTCTTGATCTGAGTCGTTTAAACGAGGATCATGAGAGTATAAACAAAATTTTAACTGATGATCAATTGGTTGTTGATTAGATTCACAAATATTGTAGGAATTGCGAAAGTAGGCCTCTCTTAATTGATTTAAAACTGAAATTTTATCACTGCAGTTGGTAATATTATTGACTAGTGTTAACGAATAATTTGATTTGCATGAATTAGAAATTATGCGGAAATTTAAGCCAGCTACAGATAATAATGGAAATGTAAAATGAAAGGGAATTATGTAAAAATTCAAACAATGAGAACTCAGTGGTTATGGGACAGAACTAAAAATATGTAAGCATTATCACCATCATCATTCCAACGCATAACACCTTTCCTCTTAGATACTGAAAATCATATGAAAAGATAGTTTACTAGGGGTATCATTAAAAAAGAGTTGAGGGATGAGATACAAGTTAGTGGGACTACGGTTATAGGACTCACTGAAATTAATAGGTGAAATATCGAAGTCAATGAGTGTACAGCCAACTGAACACTAGCGTACTCCACCTCAATACATGGATGAGATATGAGAATTGAGAAGTTCAAGAGTGCAAGAGTCAAACGCAATCGATCATCATTGCTATCAAGTCGTTACTATTCAGTCACGGTTGAATTACTGGATGAAATATATTGAAGTTGAATGCAAAGATCCAAAACGACGGGGTGAATTGTCTCATGACATTAGGAAGACGCAAAGACCATGGTGTTTGACACCTGTTATTGTTGCCTAGTTGCCACCTACTTTCAAAATATTATGCTACCTGGAGCAGTAGATGAAAGGTGTACCGGATTAGTCAGATTAAAACATAAAACTTATTGACAGAGTTCGTCATTAATAGTACAAGTCGTGTACACCACAAATAGCTACTACCTTCACGTGGTGATCCAGGTTGCATACCACAACTACACAAAGAGCGATGCTGGCGGAACGCTTCTTCACTAGAAGTCATATCATGCTGAAAACGTCTGTTGGATAGTGACAAGACGAAAAGTAGTTACTGTTGTAGTGTAAATTACTACACTATTATGGAGGTCTGAAGGTGAAGTTGTACTGCCGCTAGCTGGATGGAGTGTGACCAGGAAAATCACGCTGGTGCCGGCTTCCCAACAGGAAGAGGGATTTAGAAAAGGTTGGCCTCAAGATTAACACACACACACACACACATACAACCTGACCCACGGTCTTCCAGCGGCAACCTTACGGGTCCTGTCTATTCGGTGTTAGAAAAACCCAACATCAAAACAAAATCCCACAAAAAACCGTGTTTTACAGGCCTCAGGCAGATGTCCCATGGGCTTTACGGTCACATAGATCGTTCGATCTTTCAGGCACCTGAAGAAATAGCCTTCCACAGTATAGGCAGTCGGGAAGTGCCAGTCGCCCACACTGCCAGTAGTATACAAGACCAAATTAAACACGACCTATCCTCCTCAACTCCACCTCCTCCTTTGCCTTCACCTCCTGATACTGATATTAAACCTCTTACGTTCTACCCAACCTCTAATTCTGCAACCATTGCCAACGATCAAGGCCCTTGAAATGTATTTTCTAGTATCTTAATGGACAAAACCGAAAATATGTTCAACATCACAAGGGTTGACATACTCCCTGGAGGTCACTTGGTCACTTTAGAGTATGCAGACGATTTTGTCCCGCTAGGTGAAAACGTTGACAAAATCCGCGTTGAGCGGAAATCTGAGTATATTTGACTAGCGTGCGTTGCGCACCTGTCAAATGTAAGATGATGCTCCAGGACTTGTCTGCTGCAAGTATTCTCTGTTTAATGATAAGGAGTGAAGTGGTGCGATGTTCACCACTTCGCCTACTTGGGGAGTCGCACCAACCCACACAGAGTGGTTGTTGATGAAATCTCAGATTGTATATAAAAGGTCCGTTCGACATTTCCCAACTCGCATCACCTGTAGCGCCAGTGAGGTATCCAACTAAGAACGAGTATACTGCGCTGCAGTCCGTTCTGTCCCGTTGTACGGCTGAGATAACCGTTAAAAGAAAACATGGAGCGACTAGTGTTTTGATCACATATGTCTTCGTAACACTACCCACATTTAGTGAAATCACCGTGTGAGCAATGTTGAGGTCAGGTGAAGAGCATCAGGCAAGACAGTCAAGCCGATTGATGAGGTTGTGAACTTTAGTCGGCCGAGATGGCTTGGACATATACTGCGCATGCTGGGCCACCGCCTACCTCGACGTGCCACAGTAGGGTAAGTTGGACTACGTTGTAAGACGGTTCAGGGTGGCCTGGTGAAGATGGCACAAATCCATGAAGTCTCTAACTGCTAATCTGAGATGTGCGAGTGTTAACTGCCCAGCTGGTATCTCAGAGACGAAAGGAATCAGTGGTTGAGGATTCTTGGTGACATGGCTGAAAATCAGTAACAATCGCACAGATATATTAACTCTTCGACATCTAAGGCCTGAATATTCACACTAACCTCTATCTTCAGATTGTTTATTCTCTCACACTACTTTATCTACTTTGATATCACTTTTTCTATCCACCTGTTCTTTGCGTACTACCGTAAATGGTGGTGACTTGAGTCAATGTACCTGTGGGCGAGGTTCTACGGTTATTTTCTTAGTCAGTCAAATGAAATGCCATGGTCTTAAGGCAACAGTCAACGATCATAACAGTCGCATTTTTTTCATCAGAATTCAAAAACTTGAGGGATCCAGGATAATTTGAAATTGTAAGGTGTAGTGACCATGCTGAACCCACTTCGATTTTGGTAACCGGATAGCATGAGGAGCCTTCACATATGTGGCTCACAGCCTAATATGAACAAATACCGACTCTAGTTGCATCAGTAATATGATTTTTCATTTCGTAGAATGCTTCGTGTTTTGTATGATATACAGTCGTAAGGAATATCTACAACCAGTTTTGCTTTTCCGCTTATTGGCAAACATTTAACACGATATCCTCAGACTTGTATTATCACCTATGACATAATCTTGATGGAACTAACAGACCTACCGTAGGAATTATTTGATCTGCTGTCACAATGTTCACGCATTAAACCAAGTGCTATGCTAGTCAAAAGTGCTTCAAATATTGCAAGACACTGGATGCCTTAAACCTCCCTAAAATCAGTGGAGCTGCGGCTGTGGTTTAGAGAGATGGCTATTAAGCAGAGGGTCGCGGGTGAAAACCCAGCTCTACAAACCGGTTTTAGCAGCCAGGCAAAACCACTAGCCCTAACATAATAAGTTTTGCTCACCGCCTAATGCACTGATGTGTAAAGGTTGGCCCAGTGCGTTTTGTTTTATCTCCTACAATCATTTATCATATGGAATCTAGCTGGTAGAGCTGACACTTTGAAAATAAGTGTTTCAGGTATCCACAAGCAGTTAAATAGACTTCCAAACACGCACACTACTACAGACAGGTTATTCGAAGGCTTTAATATTTTACCAAGTATTATGTGAGATCTTACACATTCCACACTTAGCCAGCTTATGCTTTGGAATACATGAAAGTGAATATACAAAAAACACAATATTGGTAAGCGGCATGAAAACATACTCAAAGCCTTCCAAATATCAAAGAAATATTATTGAGAGACGCAATTGTCGGCCGAACCAATACTTCCCTGCAATAATAACAATATATCGCTTCCTACAATCAACAAAATGGCAAGAAATCCGACATATGTATTAGAAAAAACCAGAACTGTCAAGCTGACAGGAAGTTCGAACTAAGGATTTTTTTAAACAAATCAACTGATTGATGTTATATATAAATTTTAGCATTAAACATGAACGGCAACAAACACCATACTTGTTACTAACCAATACATGATAAGTCGTTGGAAAGCAGGTGTTTTCAAAACTTGAAAAGACATTTTCATCAATGTGAAATTTAGACATTCAAAAGTCATGTTAGCTGAGACAAGTCATAAAAACTACAGAAAGCCCATGGTGAAAATGTGGAACTACTCAAAACAATTCATAAGCCAGACATCAGATCACGAAATTGTTTCTCACAGTCGTAAGCAGAAATCGCGAGCTGGTCAGTGCTTCAGTATGAGCTACAACGCTGCCAAATGTGTTGAGGAAATTCTTACTTTCACTCGAAAAAAAGTGTATCGCCTAAGACAGTCTTACAGTTACAAATTATATCGACCTGAAAACTTAGCATGGAAAACAATCTTACAATCTGCCTCAATTTGAGCACCTTGACAGTGTGACAGAACATGTTACTGTTGCGTACATTACATATAGGCAATTTCCCCCCAAAAGCTCAATGTTAGTCTTCTCAGGGAAAGTCTCTCACAGTCTCGCCTAGCCATTTGGCATTATCACCATAGAATCCCAGATGTTAGCCGGACATTTCTAATCCAGATATGTTTTGCGCACAAAAATACCTCACCTTGTGATAAATTTTGCAGGAAGGACTCCGAAACTTTCTTGAGTAAGGCATACATCCCGGGATCTGGGAATCTGCAAGTAACAGATACTTCAGTGTCCACTAGTAGTTCAAACATCTTAGAACTGGTAGGCGACATAGAATCCAGCAGACCGAATGTTCTAACAAAGATGGACTGTAATTGTAAGGCATCATGTGGTTTGACCTAAGGATTACTGATAAGTATGCCACTTACTCTTAGATGAAGCAAGGGGATTTGTGTTGGACCGTCAAAAACGCAAAACCATCCCAAAGCAGTTCGTGCAGCTGACAGGAATGATGAAGCGTCGGAACCAAACTTTTCTCCGACACTCAAGTAGACATGAAAGTCCACTTCAACGTCTCTGTTTAGTAAGGGATCATTCAAATGGGAAGCGATCCTAGAAACAAATACGATTTTCGTCTTGACTTACCATTCAGCTGCCAGGCGAGTAGAGCGGAAGCCAGTGTATATTGCAGCATAAAGTCTAAGACAATAAATCTTCGCGGTTGAAAACATACATATACTCCTTTGGAAAATCAGTTTTCTTCAATTCGTGAAGAATTTTTAGACCTCTGTTAATTACAGACGGATCCGTGAGACTAGGATCTATATTGTGAAATTTGTAAGCCATTGCAACATCAAACGTGTGATCACAGAAAAATATAAGCTATCAGATTACGGCATCCGCGTGTTTTGAGTCAGTTTGTCCCGTTCACTGATGAGGTGGGAGCTTTCTTTGCTCTCACATATATATCTCCAGAAGATGCTTGCACGGACGATGACTTCATAAGTCGCGCCAGTGAGTGTGTTAGAGTATTCTCAAGGAGGCATAATCAATCAGCGTTATTTAACATTTGCGTGTATTCGGTATATTAGTTTCTAGATCACTTCTGTCTACTTGATGTTCATTCTGAAGTTCTGACGGTTTCTGAAAATCTGAGAATGCTTTTGTAATCGCAATGAATTCCACTATAGCAATAACCTAGAGGTCGACGAGACTAAACATTCCAATATCCAATATTGATAGTGCGAGCGTAGAAAACTGGTAGTTTTTGATCTCTCGCGTCTAGTCCTTAGGGCTTGGTTCGAGTTGTTCGGTTCACTCCTGCAGTGGACGAGGAAATCCCCTCTGCTTTCTTGCTTTTGGCCTCGGTGAGGTGGATGTTTTGTGGATTATTATAATTATTATTAGTCCCTTGGGTTCCTAGTGGAACATAGGGCTTCAGTAGCACGTCTTCAGTGAATTCTGTTCTCTGAGATCTTTTGAACCCGGTTCCACGACAACCCAGAAGCTCTCATTTCCTGTTTTGTGGATTAGTAAGTTGTAATTTGTAGAGTGATTGGGGAGCTACGGGTTGCTGAGAGGTTTAGGGAACTATCATGACTCCTGTCTGTGTAGGTACCTAAAAGAGACTAGTAAGGTAGGGGTAAAAGAACGAAGAAGGAAAAAGAAAATAGGGAAGAGAAAGAGGAAAAGAAAGAAGGAAAGGAGGGGTGAAGAAGAGAGGTAAAAGTACGTGGAAACTACTCAAGTGGTAGCGTGGAGTTAGTTTCTACAGAAGAGTTAGTAGGTAATGCGGGTGTATTAAGCGGCGAGATAGTGAGTGGTAGGTAGGAGGCAGGTGAGGGTGCGCTAATGAGGTTGGTGACTGCCTGAGTACGTCCGTGGTAGACCATGCGAGGTGACAACCATCTAGCCATCTCTTGGATGAGTCGACTGAGGGAGCTATAACGATATGCTGCGGTAAGGCATTTAATATTGGTCATACGCCTAGAAATCACCATTTAAAATGTTTGATGTCGGCTTCCGTTCGTAGGTTTTTTATGGCAGTGCTAAAATTCGGTTGCTAAAATTGGGAGTGCGGCTTCGTTAGCATCCTCATATGCATCTAACTTAATGTTTTATGTCTCTAAATAGTCCCCCCGACGTAATATTCTGTTCCTGACTGTCATGCTTCTTGAAACATATATAATTCGGCTTCGCAGACAAGGTGAAACTGGCTATGATGGAGCACTTGGACTTGGTCATAAAGACAACCATAAACTTGCTGCATTCCACCTTTAATAGCAAAAAAGTGCAAACTTACTGATTTACAATGGGATCTGTGTTAAAGAAAATGATGAGACTGCATGAAATGTTTTTGATGGTTTGCAGCACTATGTCATTTCCTCACTATTTCATACTTTAATTTATTGTTTACAGGTCTCATTTCTCAGTTCTCATGTATGTGGCAGGGATACTAAACCAAAAGTGTTTATCCTGGGTATGCACAAGTGCCTGAAGTCTGCGTCTTCACTTGCTGCCTAATGTGTATGAAGCGAAATCTCGGAGGCCTCGTACACACCAATTACTGTTAAGTCAAACGAACTAGTATATAACGGTTCAGGTCCTCGTATGGTCAGCATGTGCGACGAAAGTCTTGGTATCCATTGGTGAAGATGGCGTTGTTATGTGTATGTCAGATGACTGTTCTACAAGTGGTCATGGCTTACTTCGCGACATCACAGGCTATCTCCACTCTACATGAGACTTTCACTTCAAGACTATAAGACCTGCGAAAAACTCCCGTACATAGCAATAACTTCTGACCACCTCCCATGGTCTGAACGTTTTAATCGCATCAGGAATGAGCCACTTTTAAGGTAGAATCCGAGTTCATAGTAACGTGCACCTTGACATTTCAAAAAGAAACGCTAGGCCATGAAAATTGTATGTCGGTGTATACGAAAGCAAAGGCATTAACAGGATAGCCTAGCTTCCACTGAATTCCACTAGCGGAAAGCAAGTATTACATAACCTGACAAAAAAGATAACCACATAAAAATTAGACACAAACTCAGGTATAATACCTTTTAAATGATAGGCCAAATGTACAGCAGAAACTGCCAGTAGTCCGCCACGTCCCACTCCCAATCACTTTCACATTCACCCTCCTAATCCCTCGATAAACAGTACTGCGCGGTCGACGTTGGTTTACCGAGATGGCTTACTATCTATAACGTTCACGGCAAAGTAAATTAGCCTACTCAATATTCCATTACAACTGGGAGTGGCACAACTTGACTGTATGACATCAGTTGTGAGATGTTTGCAGCAATTATGGACGAAGTTTGCGAAATGACGTGCTATGCCGAACCAATGAAAGTTGTCGTTGCCATTATTATGAATATGAATATGATCCCACGTTAATTAACCGCGAAGGGATCTGAACATCTTGAAAACTGGTTACTGTCACGTTAATTTATCTTGAGTGGTTGCAACTTCATCTTGTTGTGAATTTACTTCTTTTCACTTTACCCCTGTTACCACGTCTCGACAGGTCCAAACCAAACGTGACAGTAGCAGGTAGCAATATTCCAGTAGGATCTTACAATAATAATTTCGTTTACTGCTATCACGTTCCGCTAGATAATTCAATAACACTGGTTTTGTAAATCCGTTCAATATGCTCCCATATTTATTTTGCAAAACATTAACCTACCATCAAAACCGTATGCATTTTTCTAAACACAGCTGACTATTGTAAGGACGTGATTTGGGTACGTTGGTAGGATTTGATACCATATTACACTAGCCTAATAGGACACACAGCATGGTATGCTATATCAGTGCACATTACATCAAATAGACTTTGTGTAACACGAAACAACTCATGGTCCTTGCATCTTTCCCAAAACAAATACATGAGGAGTGACCAAAAAATGCGATTTGTGATGACCGTACAGCCACTCAGAATAGAGTCGCTGAGAAGGAATTACGTCCCTGAGATATTTGTCCCGTGGTTTAGTGGGAATATTTCGTGTAGCGAAAATATTTATAGTCAGTTTTGTCATGGCCAGTAATTGTTTTGCCTACTGAGAAAATACGAGTGGCACAAATATCCACGGAAAATCACCCCTTTCCCGTTGTTTGGCCCTATTAGCACTACACCCGTCTCCTACTTGACCCGACAAAATGCTGATTGGGTTTTACATACCACGAGTTTTTTCGATGAGCTCCGTGGCAAGTTCCGGCTACCAATATAATGTTACCTCTTGTGTGGCCGCCATTAAATTTTCCGCTTTCGCGTCCTCATTGCGCTTGCTAAGATCTTCTGATTATAATGAGAAGTGTGTTAGCTTTTCACGGGTCTTCACATCCATAGAATACTGTAGTGAATGGAAATGTAGATAAAGGCATTTCATTCCTAAGAGCGGTTTTCCAGGGGAAGCTTCAAGTAGGAAAGGTGTAGCTGACATCAACTTCTCAAATTGCATAACGGCAAAGGTCACTGAAGAGATGCCCTAGGCAGTTCCCCTTAATACCGCTTTGTTTGGAAGAATACCGAATTCTTTTTCTCAAGGGGAAAGGAAAATAAAACCTAAATCAGGGTGATGTAAAAAACTTCAAATCATCGATGTCCAAACGAAGTCGGGATTTGATAAACTGAGAAAATTTAGTCATTGGGTAGGTGGTATTCATTTGGTTGGTTCCTGTTCATTCAAGCTAATGCGATTAGGATTTTTTCTAGCTGACGTCGCGCTATTAGCTTCATCAAAGATTTAGGCTGCGGTTTTGATGAAGCTATTGGCATTAACTTGCCGGAAATGCTCATTCACTTGGAAAGGTGTTGATATTGGAAATCATCTTGGGTGAGGAATGTGTCAACTAATGTTGAGCGATATGTTTAGTAGACGTTGAATCTCGAAGAAGGACGCTGGAATCCATAGATTTGACACTTGCGAAGCCACTACTGACACTAAAGTGTTACTGGATATAGTTGTCCATCATCGTACCTAAATGTTCTGTGTTATGACTTTGCTGACCAAACACTGGTGCACCACTGCGACCGGGATGTTGTTGAAGTGGATTCCACTCATTGAACTAATAGCGGAGGGTAAGTTGGGAATTAGAAGGGCGATAACGTTGTGATCACGCCTTGTTTCAGGTGGCCGTAACTGTTGACATGGATCAGGGTGGACCTGTAATGTTTGCGTTCACTAAGTGAGGGGGAACACAAGATTCTGAATGCTTTCTCAAGGAATTTGAAGTCAAGATAAAAGACGTACCTGGAATGAAGACGTTTGCAATGAGCCATGCAACATAGGAACCTCGAGGAGTCAAAAAAGTATTTTCGGAATGCGGAATTCGATTGTGCCGATTTTGTACACGTAGAGCTTTCAGTAAAGTGGGGAGGTGTACTGCTGTACACCATTTCATTTTTCAGATCGAGAAATTATGCACCGAAAATTTACGTACACAAGTTGGTAGCTGTTATTCATTTCTATGTGTGAGTCTAAGGAGAAATTAATACACATGGACGATGGCTACAGTCATTGCTATAGGTGCGTTCCTTCTGACGATTCCAGTGCGTTTCGACGCCCGAAGAAGTATTAGTTATCTAGGGGGGACACAACGGCTGGAACTTCCATGTATGCAACTGCCACACTGGATAACGTAACTAATGATCGTGTGAAGAACGACCACAGGCAACTGAAGCACTACCCCGAAAGGCAACGACCTTTCCAGCCAGCAGTTCGGGAAACACAGAAGCAGAACAATGAGTTCAGCACAAAAATGGAGGAACCGTTTTCCGATTACATTCAGAAATATCAAGTATTCCCTATTGTATACAAGACTGTGGGCCGGAA